TACATTTAAAGCTCAATTTTTTTTGCATTTTAAACATGTCAACCAGGGAGAAGACAGCCCTGACCGAGGGTCTTGGGAAGAGTTGACCTTCATACCAGAAGATTTCATGGCTAAAGTAATTGGGAAAAACGGTATGAATTTGAAAAAGATAGAAGCGAAAACTAAGGCAACTTTGAAAGTCTCCGAGAAGAATAGCTTGTATATCAAGGGATCTCCTGAGAGCAAGAAGCAAGCTATTCGGGAAATAAAGGAAACCATGGTAAGTCGCTCTGTGACATATAGGGTACTTTGTGGGATTTTTCAGGTGGATATCACCAAGGGACAGAATACCAATATCCAGCGACTCCCAGAATATTATCAAGTTGCAAGCAACGGAGCGAATCAGTCAATGAGCAGTCAGTTAATTTGATTTTGCTTGTCTGTGCTTGCTAGTAAGCTGAGTTTAAGGTACAACTTCCATAATTGACCACTGCTAATGAAAACCAATTACCCAATTCCTAATGCAAGCACAACTCGATCGCCTGCAGAATCTCTGTTCCCCTTGGGAGCCTGATAAAAAGATTATGGTAACAGGCTTCCGTGACCAGTGGATAAAACATATCTTTAATGGTGAAGACATCAGTGGCCATAATCAGGTAACAAGCCCAACATGTCCTCTTGATAAATCCCACACAATACGTATGATTTTGAAATTACAGAGGTGTATATTTAACAATTATTCGCCTCAGGTTCAGTGAATGTTGTTGAATTATCGTCTCGAGGATTACTCAACAGTGTTCACTGAGCCTGAGGCGATAATTTTTTTAGTATAATTGCTCAGGTGCTGGTGATTACTCGTATCAAGATAAGCAAGGAGCTTTGGCAGGTCTATTTAATTAAATCAACAAAAACTTAATATCCTTCTTTTGCTTTTCGCGGTTGAATTTTCTTCTATCGTGCTCATCACTTCCTCGCAAACATTGACAAAAGGCGAGGCAACCACTTTGAAATTTAGCACTCCTGCCACAATTACCTCGCGCTTCCTCGCGCGAGGTGATTATAGTTAGGTAAGACGCAATCCTCGACCCATCAGAGCGCGTGCATCTCTCTAATAACCGGAACAATTACACCAAATGCCTATTGAATTCAAAGGGAACGTTACTTACCATGTTAAGTATGCGATTATCATTTTTCTCCCCTATGAAGAATGGAGGCAAGGAAAAATACGTTGCAAAAGTTGTCCATGTGGACACTGCACATTTGGAAGAAGACCATGAGTTTAAGCTATCCATCGCACAACCGCCACTATCCAGAGACAAGTGTTTCAAATTAAAACTACAGGACGATCCTTTAAAAGGGGTATGTCGTTGAATTCAAATCTGTCTTGAAGGAAATACCTAACAAAAAATGCTGTGAAAGCTAATAATTTTATTTTTTCTTTAATTATTCAACCCTATTTTTATCGGAACCCTCCTGGGAGTACTGGAAGAGGGCTTCGACCACCGTTTCAACTTGAAAAAGAATAGTTCGTTGAGACACTCACGGAAACAGAACCAGTTGTGCTGGTCCCTTCGCTCGCAAGACTCGATTACTAACTATCCTTTCTAACTACCATAGATTCTCTTTAATGTCCCTTTTGAAAATCTCTTGGTACAACAAGACGATATTTGCTAGATGGTAATCTAGGAGTGTTAATGATATTGCAAGCAAAAGTTACACATCAACCCATTCCGTCGGCCAAAAACTAGTTTAGCCAGCAGGCTTCGTCTTTAACTTGCTTAGCCGCCCATGGGCGAGTGTTTTGGGAGTAAAAAGGCGGCACTACAAGAGATTCAGCATAAAAGTACAGAACTGCAGTTGCTTCGTCGTCTTACATTAGAGCTACATTCAGGTTTTTATACCAACGATGTGATGAAATCATGTCGAGAAATCATCAAGCATTGAAGAGAATTTAAGAACTGCAAACACCAGGTCTATTTATCTCTTAGACTTTTTCTTATCCACGAAACTGTGCGTGATGGTTCTTGTGAACGTCTCACTATGAAAGGTGTGTTTTTATATCTTGCCGGCTACTTCAACTAATGAATGTATTATTTCAAAGGACACACCCTCTGGTTTTGTGGGCACGGAAATCCTAGAAGAAGAGGTCCTGCGGTTTTTGAAGCAAATTCACAAAAAGAAGGAGGAGGAGATGGTCATGGTAGCTATTTCGTGTTATTTTGGTCACGCCTACCTAATCAAGGTTGATGAAGGTCAGTCCTGTAGATTTTATGAGTCTTTCGGCGAATTGGTGAGGTATCAATCAGAGATTTTTTCATACTTCTTTCGGTAGATGAAGAGGATGACATCTTCACCCCGAAGGAGGTCAAAGCGAGAATTGAATCAAAGGATGACGATCGTTGGGACACAATATTCCGGAAAGTTGAGACAATCGAAGTTGAGCAGACTGAAAAGTCTCTCAAAGCCTATGCATGCACAGCTAGTGATGACCTACGATACGACCTCACCTTCTTAACGCCATCTGGTTTAGAATTTCTAGTCAAGGTAATTTAACCATGTACCAAATTATTTTTTCTGCCGGGTTGGGGCTACCGTCGCCTCTAGACTATGGTCAATAAGCAAGGACATTCAACCCGAAAAAAGCATCTATGTCAAGCTAAAGGTAGGCAGATGTCGAACCCAAGCTGATTCACGTCTCCACCTTTGTTCGTTAATCCTTAAGCATCGTTAACTAGGCCTAAGATGCCATCACCTTTCTAATTGTGTTTACTACCATTTCGTTCACTTTAAATTAACCAATTAAAACGTTCGATGGAGAAAAATGCTAGATTTCCATCCTCATCATCCTAACCCAAACATGTGCCGAATCATTTTTCCTGCCGGGTTGGGGCTACCGTTGCCTCTAGACTAAGGTCACTAAGCAAGCACACTCAACCCGAAAAAGACATCTATGTCAAGCTAAAGGTAGACAGATGTCGAACCCAAGCTGATTCACGTCTCCACCTTTGTTCGTTAATCCGTTAAGCATCGTTAAGTAGGGCTATGACGCCATCACCTTTCTAATTGTGTTTTACTGCCATTTCATGTACTTTAAATTAACCAATTAAAACGTTCGATCGAGAAAAATGCTAGATCTCCGTCCTAACCATCCTAACCCAAACATTAAGCCATGTTAGCTCAGATAAAAGGAAATTTTACAACCCCCACAGTTCACATAGCGTTCAACAGCTTTTTATTAACTCTATTAAAGCTCCTGAAGGCGTGTTTCTACTCTACCAAAATGTTCTTAACGATCTGGCCTTCTATACTTTTTATCAAACCTATGGTGTCGATTGATTTTAAGGTAGCTCTGTGAGCACCATGGTGTTCTATTATGCATATTGTATCAAATAGTGTACAGGGAGATAACACGACGAATTAAGGGATATTGTCTTGATTTGTGATCCTTATACCTTGAGCAGTTTCAAGTAATTTTTTTGCTGATGAACTCTGAGCTATCGAAATAGAGGCTGTGTAGGGTTCGTAACACTGCAATAACAGACAAGCATGATTACACTTCTAGCAGAAGAGAGCCTTCTGACATTTTGTTTCGCGTCTGGCCAGTTAAAGAATATAAAAGTGTTGCTAAACCAGTTCACCAAGATTTCACTTACAGACGGTGTAAATTAGCCAGGGCCCGACCAAATTTTCTCTCTTTATTTGTTATCATTATCCCTCTGTTATCAGGTATGGCTCATCGAAAAAGAACCTGGGGTCGAAGGCGCTTCAGCGTCTTCCCTGGCGTTCCGTCGCAGCCCTCAACTTTCTGTCAGAAACACCTTGACAGAAATCTTGCATGACGACCATAGTGGAGATGCATCGAACGCACCAATTTTCTACATCAGCGATACATTTAATCAGCAAATGACAATCGACATTCTATCGCCGTCTGCAGGATTTGATTGCCGTTTGAAAATACGAACATGTAAGGAAACGTTTCTCTCAAACTTAAGATAAAAGAAATATTATGATTCTGTATCATATGATTCTGCGTGTTATTTACTTCTCTAGATATGACTTTGGGACATTTATGATAATATAGTTGCTTACAACTTCGTGGCATTTCCTTCCCATTCAAGAACAGAAAAATTTCAGGCTAAATAGGTTATTAGCACGCCAGACTAAGTTTGATGGTCACCTTAAGCCTGGTCGGTGAAAGGGCAGGGCCTAAAATCTGAATATAATTAACTTCAAGTGGTTGGTCCACCCATCACATATAATGAAATTGAAATGACGATAATTTAAGGTTTGAGACTCGAATGAAAAAATTGCATGTATGTTTCTATGCAGAACAAAAAAGGACATAGTCTGACCTCACTTCTTTCCTCTTTTAGTTCCAAAGTTTCCACAAACAAAACCACAAGCAGAAAAAGAGCGTAAACTTTTAGAAAACTACCTCATGAAGATGAGGATTGATGATGGTCAGCTGAAGTTTCCACCAATTTCCGAGCTACCAGATGGGTTTGACCTGTCTTTTCAGCGCCGCTGCCTTCGAAAGACATATCGGTATGAACATGACGGAGACGCGTTTACTTTAACTGTTAGCAAAGACCAGTTAAACAAGGTGAATGCCGACCAGACTGATGCGTACAGTTTCAATGAATCAGAAGCGAAGGTATTACTAGTCATACAGAAACAATTTAGCACTTATATGCATTTCCCTGATTCAAATTCGTCCTCACCATCAGGTGCAATTCTTCATGAATATCAGTTTTTCTTCGTTCGATCACAGGTGGCCTAGTTAGCGATATGAGCTCATATTTATTTTGTTTAAAACCTGATATCTGAAGGAGTAGCATAACTACGGTTTAGATACATGAAACTCGACTCTATTTTGGAACATATGGAGATACATTTGTAGGATTGAACAGATTCGATTGTACAGGGAAAGCAACGGAATCGGGCTTAGAGGCAGATGTTCATTTTTGCCCTAAGATTAACTTAAGCCACAACCTTGTTGCCTTGGCTGTTGTTCCGTTGCTTTTGATGCCTGAGATGTTAAGTGTCCACCAAACAGCCTTGCTTGTCCCTTCGCTCACTGAGTCATCGGTGCGTTACTTACTTGCATCATACTACATTATACCACATCACAACGCATTCGCATCACATCATGTCTAGCCAAATCACATCATATTCACTTTTACATTCACGTCACATTCACTTTTACATCCACATCATATTCATATCACTTTACGTTCACATCACATCATATTCACTTTCACATTCACATTCGCATCACATTACGTTCACATCACATTCACTTTAACATTCACGTTTACATCATATTCAGGTCACATTACGTTCACATCACATCACATTCACATCAAATCATATCACGTTACATGCACTTCACATTACATCACATCACACCACATTCACATTTACATCATATTCACATAACATTACGTTCACATCATATCACTTTCACATCAAATCACATCATGTTACATTCACATCCCATCACATTCACATTACATCGCATTCACATTACATCACATTCACATTACATCATATCTCATTCACATCACATTTACATGACATCACATTACATATACGTCATATTTACATCACATTACGTTCACATTACATTCACATAAAATCCCATCACATTAAATTCACATCACATCTCACACGTCACATTCACATCTCATTCACATCATATTACGTTTACATCATATTCACATTACCTTACGTTCACATCACATTCACATCAAATCAAATCACATTACATTCACATTCAGCTTCATATCACATCTCATTCACATCACACCACATCGCATTACATTCACATTATATTCACATCACATTGCGTTCACATCTCATTCACATCACACCACATCACATTACATTCACATTATACTCACATCACATTGCATTCACATCACATTCACATCACATCTCTAGATTTACATCCCACCTCCCAAAGTGGGCAGCTCGGTGACGTGTCTTTATTAATTACTTTACAAGATACAGGCAATAAGCGAAAAGGGTCGCATTTATTAAACAGTTATGTCCACTCATTTGGAAAATTTGAATAAGATTCGGTTCTTAATAGAAGTAAACTTTTGGTAACAAGAAGTGAATGGTCGGATTAACGTCGTTGTAAAATATTTATATGAGAGGACCCACAATTCATCTGAAGCTTGACCATGAGGTATCGTGGAGTTACAATCAGTAATTATTTCTGTGCTTAAATGGGATCAGTTGATGTGAGTATTGCTACAGCATTTGTATATTGTTTTTAATTTCTTCGCATTACTAATGTATTTTGTTTGTTTAATGTCTTTTGTCAATCATGAAAAGCCGAATGTTCATCTCAACTGTGAAGAATGGGACCAAGTACTAAATGAGGGAAACTGGGAACCGGAGCAGATTACTGCCAAGCTTCCTAAATTTTTACAGTTTCTAAGGAAAGTTCAGGGAAATGTGGCCCCTCTGTAATAGGAAGTGACGAGTGATTCCAGCGAAGAGCGAGCCTCATAGAACCCCCCTCCCTAAGATACGTCACAGCAAGATGCGTCTGTTTGTTACGTAACCTGGTTCTCCTGTGACTTCATGAGGAACGTTGATTACCCACTTCACTACATTAGCTTCTATAAAAATTGCACATGGACTTCTACTATATATGGTCCGGTCACGTGTCTGATCCCTGAGATTATGATTTTGTTTTTGTGTAAGCCTACGATCAATAAACGCGTCTTGCTATACTTGTCGAAGTAAACGTTTTCCTTCAAATACTGTTACAGCTAAGGAAAAGTATGCTGTATGTAAAAGACCATTAAATCTTCGGCCTCATCGCCCTTTAAACCTCTGTAGGCGAGGCAACTAGTCTCTAGCGTCTCTCGCTTTAGAAAATCAGAAAACTTCTAGCAGGGCGAATGCTGTGGGGCGTTTTGGGTCTCTTAAGTGCAAGCAGAGAGATCTTGCATGGTTGGATGTAAGAAATGACCACGAAGTGTTCTTCACAGACTAAAGAAGAAGTTGATAACACTTGATTATGTAAACTTTTGGGTGGGAGAGCTTCTGTTTGAAACCGCCCAGCTGGAATTTTATCCGAGAACACGGTATACAAAGCTTAATATGTTCTAAGGTTATAAGCCTACGTGAGATGAATAGGTTTTTTTTCTTTTTTATCAGTTGTAACATTAGGGCCTTTGTTTGCGAGGAAAATAATCTGCGGCTTATATAAGAGGCGAGTTTATCGTATATAGGGTACCTTTCCATTTTTGTACACCGCTGCTCATGGTTTTCAGCGTGTCTTTAAGAAGCTGCTGCCAAGAGAAAATAAGGGAACAGATAGGAGAAATGAGGGTGTTGAATATGTCGATGTATACGAAACGTGGGTTATTTTTAGCTTGGGACGGAAAGCAATGTGGTTTCCTAACATAGTTTCTTCAGGATCCCTTAAGTCGATTTAATATCAAAACAGCCAATATCCTCGCTGTTCTCTAATACATCAATCTTACTTACAGGTGATCAAGACCCACTGAAAGAGGACGGATATTTTTCATTTTCCGTCAGAAAAAGGCCATGTGCGAAACGAAAAGCAATGCGTGACCTTTGCGATTAAATCATTACGTAACAACCGTTTGATTTAGCGAAACGTGACTCTTACCTCACAGCAAATGGAGGTGTTGTGTTTCAAGAGCTCATTACTTGGGCTTCCTGTGGAAAAGCCTGAGGCAAGAGATTGTAAACTGTTAATAATGTCTTTCCTAAGCTTATAATTACCTTGCGGTTCTCGTCTATCTTCCTAAAAGGCATTTCCAGCGTTCTGCACAAGCGCTGATAATCAGGCTCCGACCTTAAGTCCTCTTGAAGCATTTGTGGTTACTGATTAATGGTTTTTAACAAGTTTAAACTCAAATTCTAACCAGTACGTTCTTGCAACTGACTTAAAATCATTTTACCTTGAAATGTGGTGTTTGATAGCACAATATTAATTATTTTTTATCAAAACTTGCGTTTTTAGGTCGCATTCATCTCGCGTGTAATTACGACCTTGAAACATGTCCAAATGCGATATTTCCTAGAACAAGCACCAGTGTCCTTATTGATGATAAAATGATAAAAATAAATGGGATTTAACAGTAAACATTTCAGAGAACGGTCTAGTTGTTCCTGGGAAGTTAACAGCGTACACCAAGGGCGCAGCAATTTAGACAAAAATTAAAAGAAAAGCAAGCACCTGGAAATTGAAAAAACAGGAAGTGAAATGAAACAATTTTCCTGTACTGATTCAAGTTGGAGCGGATAGAAACAGAAACAGCTTGATCTTTCTATGTGAGGAAGTGAAAGACGGGGTGACGGAGGCGCTTGTTGACATTATGGGTAAGGCGCATGTTGCGGATTTTCGGTAACTTCGTTGAGTAACGAGATGATGATTTCCCAGACCGTAAGAGTGTGTCAGTTACCTATGGATCTAGCCACTAATGTTGACTTAATAATTGAAATAAATCAAACAGCCAATGGACTCTAACTGTTCTCACGTCTCGTGTTTTTCATCAGATCGTATACAATCCAAGCCATTCACAATATTTTTGGGTTTCTGTCCAATCTCCATTCCTTTTGTTTAATGATGCTTATCATAAATTCTCAAAAAGAAATTTATAATTGAAGATTCGCGTCTCAAAGATAAAGATCGATTTAAAGAACAAATAATGTAAAGAAAACCCCGAGTTGTTTACGGTATCACGTCGCGTTGAACGCGTGCAACGCAGCTCCGTGGCTGAGAGAATTTGGTCATCTATCGCGCGAGTCCGTTCGGGCCAATACTTTCTTTAGCATGCGCGAAAAGCTACACAACGAGCCGAATGCGGGGCATCAAACGAAGGTGACGCTCAAAGTGGATGTTTTAGCTTTTTCATGAGCGATCTTGATCGACAGGTTCTGCACGAACCATGTTTTTGGTAAACAAAATAACAGACAAAAGAGCCCTATTGTTTTCCGCAGCAGAATTCGCTCTCTAAGCTACAGCACACACAACTGATACAATCAATGATTTCGAAGCATATTTATTCGATTTTGTTCTCTTTATGGTGACGAACAAAAGTTATCAGACCTACCAAACTTGGGCACCACTTGCTAAATTACTAAAATGCTTCTGTAATCGAGAACCGAAGTGGTAAAAATATTTGAAGGTTTTAGACTCAGTCATATTTTGCAGAGTGGGAATTTGGACCTTGAAAATTAGTCTGGAATCTATTGCTATATTGTTTTGAGGACAAAGTCATACCATTTGCTACCGAATGGCAACAAAGCTGGGGGCAAGGGGTTGTCTTAATAATTAACATTGCATGTCATGCTGAAAAGGACGTTAAGATTACGTTTTCCCCTGATGCTATGCGCTTTGACGACTGTTGAAAAAAGTTCTTGCTACAAAAGAAATAACTCTTATAAAAAATACCTTTTTGTTCTCTTCGACTGAAAGCCTTTATACAATTGGATGAATAAAATAAGTAATAGCATCAAAAATGAAAAGATTTTCGTGCATGCCTTCTTTGAAGCTATACAAAATATTACATTAAAAATAGCACTACACAAAAATATCCCTTGACTTGCTGTCAGAACATCCCAACAATTATCACGGAGAAACTTTTTCTATCGGGACATCCCTTGTAAAGGGATGAAACCCTAATGAAACCCTAATGAAACCGTGGAAAAGTCAAGTGAGGTCCAGTTGTAATTACAGAGATTCTAGAATTATGCGTCTGAGCAATTTAGCACCAATTTTAAAATATCTTAATTATTACATCACTTTTCCAAGAAAATACCCATGAGAATTAAACATTATTGCAGAAACAAAATTAATACCGTGATCGAAACAATCGTTCCTTTCCTTTTAAGTGCACTTGGGAAGCCAATTTTAACTTCAAAGAACCACTACCAACAACTCATGAACTTCACTTCGATATGGCATGAAGTTCTCTTTCCGTGCAGGGTTTTTTTGGGGGTGTGTCATTCATCGAGAATAAAAGATCACTGTATCCATTTCTTGAGTTGTCTGTTCTCTCTATCCGATGAGAAATAGTGCTGAATTCTCCAACAAAGAGGGCACTGAATCTTTTTCATAAATAATGTTAAAGGGCTCTACCAGCTCTCTGAGACAAGAGGCCTCACGTAATGTGCAACACTTTGTATAGCACTTGTCTTGTTTGTGAAGATATTCCAGTATTTTCGCATCACTTGAAGTTCGCATAATCGCTGAAGGAGTCCACAAACAATCGTACCATTTCGTAACAGAACTTGTACTGCTCCTGTAATGGAAAAGATAGTCAAAGATTAGCAAGATGCCGATATGACAAGAATAATAAAGTGTATCCACAGAAATCAATTACCTAATGATTATGCATTCAAAAACTTTAATTTAGTAGTTCCACCTGGCATAAATTGTAAAAAACTGTGTCGAGGATCGACGGCGCTGGGTAACAGCAACATGCTTTTCAAGGTTCCACAAGGAGCAAGGGGAAATGGGTCACAAAATAGCAAGGAGCAAATTGAACTTAAATAACCTAGAGAAAGTAATTGTTGGCTAGAGACGAGAATGGAGAGAGGGGCAAGGGTCTGAAAGAGGTATTATACACCTTACGCCCTTTTGCTCATCAATAATCCCACCCCACTCTGCTCATCAGTAATCATCTTAGGCTTTAACTGATCATTTTCATGCAAAAAATTATCTTTTTTATCACATCTTAAAGCATCTTTACAAGCGGCTCTGTCGTGTGCATCTTGCAAATATTTTGAACAAATTCTTCAAATTTGTTTTTTACAATCCCTGTTGATCTTCTTCATTTAAAAGCGTCCTTATTCCTAAACTGCTTATCGTTATGTCTTAAATATTTGCTTTCTTGCCATTATTTCATTTAATCGTTTCCTTCAATTTATCACTTCTTTTCTAAAGCGAAAAAAAGGAACGTGACACATCGTGGCATGGATTCGTACAAGAAAAAGAAGATTACGGTCGTAAACTTCGTTTCAGCCGTTATTATATTCCCCCTCAGAGTCACAAGACGTTTAAGATGCTTATTGGAATAAAGAGTAACATCATTTGATTTTCCTTACCGCTGTCTGTACCATAAGAGGTCTCTGAGTACGCAAGCGCCGTACGGTCTGAAACATGTCTACTGAACCATCAAGTTTGACCCGCTCCAGCGCTATATTAATAGCGCAGAAAGTGCCAGTACGACCACTTCCATCACTAGAAGAGAGGGAACCAGAAATGAAATTCGTCTCCTTTGCTTATCATGGAGTAATAACCAAATTATAAAATATTACCGTACTAGACAACGTTCAATTGGCCACGTGTTTATGTTTCCTGAAAATATTTAGTTGAAACTATCAAAACTGCCATTCGCAATTCAATTTAAGCCAGTGAGCAAAATCTTAGTTCGCTGCTCTAAATATTCAAATTTGCAAAGTTTAGAACTAGAACACTGACAACAAAATAAATGAGCCTATTGACGCCTAAAGCAACGTGGGACTGCGCATTTTCCAGCGGATGATTTTTAAATTCAACATAGATGTGGACCTAAAAATTGCACGACCTCATCTTATTTTGCAGATGGAACATTTGAAGAAATTGGTGTCAATCCAGAGAATGGTCAAAATTACAAGATTTGATGGGATCAATGTCAGTATTAGAAGAGCTACACACCTACCCCTCCCCTAACCCAAAAACAGTCAACTCATAACAAGTTAGGATTAATGTTGGGTTAAGGGAGGGGTAGGTGCGCAGTTGCTCAGATACTGACATTGATCCGTCTCATGTGATACTTTCAAAGGGTTTACCTGCAGTGGACGACTATTGGTCCATTGCCTGTCTGCTGCTGCACCCTTGTGATACATTTCATCATGTCAAGAAGCCCGACACCATTAAGAGGAATTGAGCGCTCTGCCCAGTCCGTGAAATGAAAATGATAAAGGGTGCGCTCTTCACCGCTCTGCAAGAGAAAGCATTGAATCACGATATTATTACCCTGTAGGGAAGGTGCCTTTTAAGGCACTTTAATGTTGCAAGCTCGCGATCGGCTATTCGACCGGCCATGTTTGATTTAGAGCTAGAGTGGACGGTAAGGGTAAGGGGGGCGGAGAAAGGGGTGAATTTCTATTAACCCAGCCCCCACCCCTCTCCTTCCTTTAGACCGTCTTTCACCCCCCTAGATTCAAATTTCTTTCTCTTCCCAGCCTTCCGCTTCTGTAAAATTCAAAAATGGCCGCTATTACTTTCACCAAGAAAATTCCGAGCCCTCGCTCGCCACAATTACGCCAGCTCTGCAAGCTACGATGTTATCGAATACGATGTTTAAAGCTATCGTGAGCGTGTTTCAATTAGTGTCGTGCGACCAAAACCAAAGTAATAATGACAGACAGACGGAAAAAAAGTGGACTATCATGAGGCACCGTTAAGAACTCATGAAGAAAAGCTGGCTTGATCGCTGGCGCGCGGAACTTGTTATCCAAGGGTCCTTCTTCGAGCCTTAACCCTTTAACCCCTAAGAGTGACCAGCTTCTAATTTCTCCTCACAATATCACCCCTGAATCAAACATTAAGGTCATGAGAATCAAGGAAATGATCACCAACTCATAAAGCTCTTGATCTTTAAACAAATTCTCCTTGTCAGCGCTTCAGGAAATGTATAGAGGCAGTAAGGAGAATATGAACACTGATGTTAGGGTGTAAAGGGTTAACCCCGGCGGTGAGTTATACGTCGCTTATATGCTACGTTCTCTACTGAGACAACTCTGGTCTGGAGACACTTTTTCCAGTCCTCAGGAAACAGCGGCTGATGGTATCAACCGCTGTTTCCTGTATGGAGGTTTCATTACTGGTCAATTCACTGGAACAGTAACGGCAAAGGTTCTTCAAACCATAGACATCAAGTTACGCACAATACAGCAAACACACCCATATAGTTTTCCTTAGTTTTCTTTCCATCGTAACGAACGCAAAAAGAAAATGTTTATTTTTTCACCTTTGTGTTCGTAATTTTCAGTTGTCTTCTACAGAAACCATTTCTCAGATCTTCCGCTTCAATCTCGATCATCAACAAACCATAAACAATGAACTCCTCTTTGTGAGGCAAATAAGATGCACAGATTCCCTGAAAACGACAAATGAATGCAGCAAATCAGGTAAATCAGGCAAACAAACAAACAAACACACAGACAACTGAAAATTAAAGAGAAGTCTGCACTAAAGCCAAGTAGCCCACCAAAAAAAAATTAAGGAAACGTTGAGTAGAAATTGCACCCAATTAGATATCAGACTTAAAACAAAAATCAACTCCCAAACCTCTTCTCTCTCGTTCTGTGTGCATAACATGACAATGCAATTAGCTTCATATTCCCAGGTCATTCGCCAGAAATCAACGACCGTAGTATCCAACGGGGCCTGGGTGGCAATGAATGCCTCGCGCTGCTGGAAACTCTAAAACAGATAGAAAAAAAAACAACGGAGACGGTGTGGTTGGAATGAAAACAACACACAACTGCCAAAAAAATTTATGGGCACTTGTAGTACAAACCGAAACCCGAAAGCTAAGCGTGAGTTCTTCCTATCTCTCTGCTTTTCAAACCAGTCAAGAGAATTCGGTGTTGTACCAAGATAACCCTCTGATTCTGATCATATCTGTAATCGCGAAACTTATTGTCAAACCGTTTCCTGTGTGTATTGTGTTTACGTGTTAATTACCAGTGAGTGTTTGTATGTTTCATTAGTTGTATTGCGTACTTGTGGTTGATGTTTGTATCGTTGCGTGATGTACGTAATTAAGTCGAGTAATTTGTCACGTTTTGTGTAAAAAGTTAGTCCTGTGGACCAATGTTCATGTCCACTTTGTAAAAAGCAGCGTCGTCGTTTTTGTTTTTCTCCTGTAAAGCGATGCACCGTTAAGGTATATATTTTGCCGTATTGTGAGTTTATTTGTAAGTTTCCGTTCTCTAATATGTACTTTCCTACTCATGTTTAATACCGTAGGTGTGTAGATGTTTTAAATAAATGATGAACACAATTACGCGTAACTTCGGTTCCAATAACTTTAATCTCATTTTCTTCTTATCCTTATTTTCTCTCTTTCTTTTCTTTTGCCTTCGATGCATCATATTTAGTAGTTTAAACATGACCCGCCTGGATAAGTTTAACCCTTTGACTCCTAAGAATGATTAGCATCTAATTTCTCCCCACAATCTCACCCCTAAAGCAGACATTAAGGTCACGAGAATAAAGAAAATGATCAGTAACTTGGGAAGCTGTCGTTCATCTCACCTTAAGAAATGTGTGGAGGAAACAGTGTGGAGAATATACATACTGATGTTGGGGTGTAAAGGTTTCACTACCTGCTAGTCTATGCTTTTGATATAATTATTAACAATTATTATTTGAATAATGATGTACTCACGTCTACAAAACTTGCGTTTATGTAATCAGACCCCACCATACCCGTGAAAGGCCACAGTTTTACTCTTGATCGATCAACTGGAGAGAAAATAGAATCATATAAAGGTAATGTATATTACGTATGAAGCAATCTATTTTGTTCTCAATTCTTACGGAAATAAATTACATCGACCCTTCGGCAGAGAAATGAAGCAAAGAATTGATCATCGCAGGTGGACTGAAATTCAAGCAATTGCAAAACAGAAACCTGAAAAAAAAGACTCTCTACAAACAATTTCAACTTACATGGGAGTATGGCAAATCTGTTCTTGGATTTATTTTCAGGCTGAGAGGCGCTGATGAATGAATCGTAATCTGAGTCACCCAGGCCAAGGTTCTGCATGATAACATCAATCAATGAGTACATATTAGTAAAACATTGCTACTACTATTAATAAAATACTGTAAGCGAGAACTCTTCTTCACAAAGTACCTTCGAAACGACACAAACCAGGAAAAGGAATAAAAGCACTTTCAATTCCTTAGCTATTGTTTGCTCAGTATGCCTATGTATATCCGTAGAAAACTATTAAGATAAAGCCTTGAGCTTCTTTCATCCCTTATTAAAGAAGTTTAAGTTTCCAAAATGACATCGGCTTACACCCTTAAGAAATTGATGAAAGATCGCCTAACCCTTGAACCACTAAGTGTCACAAGAATCAAAATTCTCACTGCAGATTACTGCTGAATCAAACATTATGATCAGAAGGAGCTGTGTTGTCTCCTGAACGGTGAAACATCAAAACCTCACAAAAACACACTTTTGAGAAGTCTAGTACTTTCTAATAATTGTTTACACCTCACTGCATCCCCAGATCGGTCGGAAGACCCTCTCACGAACTCCACGAAATCTACTGGTTTAAAGAAGTTTAATACCTTGAATTCCACCACCAGAAGCGAATCTCCACTGTCTGGATCAATGGTGTTAAGAACACGCAAATTCTCTGGTAGGTCACGCACAGCAAATTCTGTACTGCCACATGTGACATACTCCACCAGAGCGTCATGGATAAATACGTACTGGGCCTGTCGTAGAAAGATTAAACAAATGAATAAATAAATAAAACCGTCCACGTCTAAGAAATCATTATATCAGAAGTCCTTCCAAAGGAACCAGTCATTATTTATCGCACGGGGAGGGGGGGCCTAAGAAACCTTTCTATTGAGAGGGAGGGGGAGGGGGAGGGGGGATCACATGGTTTTCAACGGAAACGGACGGTGATCAGTCAGTATTCATGGGGGGTGGGGGTTCTCATGGTTTTAAGGGTAGACAAGGGGATCAGTCAATATTTATCGAGGGGGGGTCTGAGAGTCTTTTATTCTAGAGCCTATGGGCATTAAGTATATTTTAAGTGACACAACTAAATTCCTCCGATCCCTTACCCCCCCCCCCCCCCCCGCGTTAAATTATGTCATACCTCTGTCTGCACCATGGCGCTTCTCTGTTGACGGATATGACAGACAAAACCATAGATGTCTACCACCCCCTCAGCATCTATTTGGTCCAACATGGCGTCAAGTACAATGTATGTCCCGGTGCGTCCTACACCAGCACTGCAAAATAAATGGCACAGGCCAATAAATATCTTTTATCATAACAACAGTGTCTCTACGAAGAGGAAGAAGGATACAAAAACTTCCAATACAAAATATAAAACAGGTTAAACGCAAATTTAAAAAAAATTTCCTCTTCGTCTATTTTTCAAGGGAACTTTGCCCGTCTACCTCGCCGCAATGTTTCGACTCATTTCTGTGGCTGTCGTTAGAGCGTAACGGACGACAGCTGCGAAAAATTCTTTTCAATGTCCCATCTCATTACCTGCAGTGGGTCAAAATGGGCCCAGAATCCTCTGGCACAGAGGCACGGACCTTCTTCAGGAAAGCAAGCAAGGAGGTTGCGTGGGTAGGGACCCCCTGATCAGGCCAAGCCGTGAAGTGATACTGTATCACCTCACGAGCGCGATACTCGGCTGTGTCTGAGGTCTAAGAAAGATAACAAGGAAAGTCAGTATTCTAGCTTATATGCACCTTAGTCAACTCGCAGTTTCCCTGTATTATCCTATGTAGCTGGGTAGATATCTTGTACTTTTTTTACACACGTACTTCAAACGAGCTCACAGATCTCAGACTTCAACTGTCCAAGAAATCATTGAATCACAAACGGATTGACAGAACGACTAACTGACTGACTCACCGCTGACTGACTGTTTCAGTCACCAATTTATTGTCTGACTAACTGACTGGCTGACCCATAGAGTGACTGACTGACTGGCTCACTAGCTGATTGACAGACTGACCGACTGACTCACCGACTAACTGTCTGGCTGACCTCCTCAGAGACTGACTCAATGACTGGCTGACTCAACTGACTAAATCATTCACGGACTCATATAGGCTCACTGACCATCTCACTGAAAGCAACGTAGGTACAAATAATCCAAAACAAACTCACCATCTGAACAGAAAACTTTCTAATCACATAGTCAGCAAGTTCTTCCTCATCACCCGGAGAAACCAGGACAGGACCGTACATTTCTGGACTGGCGCTCGGCCAATACTTCAGACACTTTATCTAAAGACAAGTATTCTTGATTTAAAATTCTACTTCCATTCTGAGTGGTTCTTTCTACCTATGACCTATGTATTTATCGGGATTGCCTTGGTGGCAGTAGGAGTTTAGTATCTCAAAGTCACAATCACAGGTTTTCTTGCTATAAAAAAAAACGTTTTTTGTTCTCTTATACCTTTTCTTAGGAAAAAACACTCCCTCTAAAGCGACAAGCATCACTGCACTGGCGCGCAGTGTCAATCAAAACTCAACTACGTTCAGGCCCAGTCTCCGTCATACTATCAAAATAATGTTCAGTTTAAATGTAGTTTAACCTACCCGTCCTCCTTCCACCATGTTTGTAACCATGACAATGATACAAACGCCTTGGTCCCAGACCGTTCGCCAGAAGTCTCCAAATGTGCTAGCAACAGGACCTGAAATGTATGTATAAGACGTGATTAGAAATTGCCAGCGCGGAGCGGAATGGCAAAAGAGGGGGGGGGGGGGGGGGTGGGTCAGAGAATTGTCTCGTACCCCAATATGTGGCACTATGGTCAAGAGCTGTTGTCGAGTCCTGAGGTCAAACCTCAGGTGAAAGGAAAAATAAAGGCCTCGTTAACGCCCTCATAACCCACGTCCGTCTCTGATAGCTTTTGATCTCAAACGAGCAAAACTGGGTAGGGGATCATTTCGTTGGCGTCCAGCCTACATTTACTTTACAAAAATTCCTTAATAATTGGTAGCGTCCTAGAATCCATGACAAAAACCCAACTGCTCAAGTAAATATTATGAGTGAACGTTCAGCATCATTGATGGCAATCGAGTGGGACATTCCCATGGCAAAGGTAGGTTGTTCCATCGAAGCAGAAAGAACACAAAGAAACTCAAACCTTGTGTAGCAATGAACTTGCAGTGATGATTGTAACCCTAAAAATAAAAAATAAACAAATAATAGTCAATAAGGAACTTATCAGGTAGTCCAGTTAACATTGTCAGGCCGGGAGAGACCTGAGTGCAACTCATGGGAGATACTTCACAACCTTATTTTTGCAACTGTGTACAATTGTTATCGTTGCTATAACTGCTTCAAACCTCACACCTTAGTCCAACGCTCATAACACCCAAATATCAGTTTGAATATTCACCATGCTGTGCACGACATAATTCCTATCGAACTGACAGAGAGAATACGTAATAATCAAGAGCTTCTGTAGTTGGCAATCATTTCCTTAATCCTCATGGCCTGAAGTTTTGATTTGGCAATGATCTCGAGAGGAAAAATTAGATACCGATCATTGTAGAGGAATAAAGGTTTAAACATATCGTTACGGTTGTTATTTTTGTTGTTGTACTTACATCAATGAAGTTGGCATTGATGTAATCACTTCCTGGATAACCATCCAACTCCACTAATTGCACCCTCGTGTGGTCATCTGCAAATGAGTCAAAGAAGAGCAACACAATTGTGACGGTTGGCCTGACGTGAAGTTTATCAAAAAGCCTAATGCCCGACAAATATACACTCTTTCAGATAGTTACCAATTATTTACCGAAGTGGAGGTGAATAGTACTGGATATTCACCGAGCCACGAAGCGGCGAGGTAAATATCCACCACTTTCACTTAACACTGAGGTGAATAATTGTTTTATTATATACCACACAGCAACCAAAAATATAGTTTCTCTATTTCAATACACCAAAAATGTTAGAAATTAAATTTTTGACGCGCGATTTTGTCTCTTCGGCTGCCCGGGAGGTGAATAGTACTTCCTAAGCGCTTTCGAACTAGCCAATCAGCGTGGGCGAAAAGCACTATTCACCTGTGTGGTATATTCTTATGCGTATCATACGCAGTGCCTGCCACGTTTCATTTTGTTCCTGTAACAAAAGGAAAGGGAAATTATCTTAATTCTTAACGGAAATAAATAATTGTATGACCCAAGAAATAGTCATAACGAAATACCTGAGTAACTGAGATTCGGGAGTGATAAGGGGTAGGGGGTAGGGGGTAGGGGGTAGGGGGTAGGGGGTAGGGGGTAGGGGGTAGGGGGTAGGGGCAGAACCCTCTCTCCCCTCTCTGGCTTTCTTTCTTTCTTCTTTTTTTTTTTTTTGTTGGTAATTTTGGGCCACTTTTAGTTAAATTATAGAGATTAGCTTCTGGTTATATGGTATACTGGACTTACATGGAATAATGTTCTTGTATCTGTTCTTGGCTTTATTTTCTGGTCTCTGGCTGCTCTCCCATGTGAAGTTTCCTGGTACCCGGATGGACTGCAGTTGGAAAATCAACAAAAAAATCAGAAGTTATGATTCAGCGTACAGCTTATAACAATAAGTGGGGTTTGACCCAACGAGTAGGTTAATAAGCTGCCGGAGACGAGTTCTTGGTCAATGGAAATGAGGAAAAAAAAAGAGAGCGAAAAACGGCAAGAGTCTGGGTTAAAGGAAGTCCTCTGTTACTCTCCTCAGTTCCCCTTCTTTTTCACCTCGCAACCTCCAATTTCTCGTCTGCCCCCTCGAGCTCAAACCGAAATCCTTGAAGAGAACTGACGACCAAGTGTAATGATGAGCAATCATTCTCAGAGGATGACGTTTATCTATTGGCAAAAATGACTTCTGTAGAAATTCACCCTTAGCTACTAACTCACCACAAACTCTTCTCTAAATGCCTTGTTGCCATCAGCTTGATTGATTTCACAGTATTCTCTCAGCTTTTCAATAGGAATGGGTTTGATTGTTACAAACTTTCCTGGACCCACTACATCTGCAAATTAAATGAAACAAGATTTTATGTAACACGTGATACATCCATTAAGGAACGTCCAGTGATTTCTATATCACCCATCATAATGACTGCAGGATCTGCCTGACTTAAAAAAAAAGTATACACATTTTCATCGCTCAAAGGTAGATGAATTTTTCAAACTTTAGCTATAAGTTTAAGGTTAATATGATAACTCTAACAAAACGATTGACATCCCTTTGAATTTTTGGATTTGGTGAAGACCAAACGACTGGGTGGAAAGTGTGTGACACCAGAGTGTGGTAATCAACTGACTAACCAGATTGATTGATCAGCATTTTTTCTCCACAGAAATAAAGGTATTTTTTCTCCAAGATTGACTGTCTTTTTTGTGCACTCTTCTCCCGGAAAAGGCTATTTTAACCTTTAAACCTAAGCTTTACCTGAATTGCCATGTGGGTCATTCAGATTGGCCAACTGGGTCTTAAGTTTAATGTATTTTTCTTCAGCTAATACACCCGACCACTACTGTTCGTTAGATGATAGGGATTTTAAATTTATACAAATTCACTCTACTTTATGGCTGAAAACACCATCTTGTTTTAAGGGCTCTTTGGTTTTTAAGGCCTTTTAGAGCATTTTTATCATAGATTTCATTTCTTACTTGCTTTAAATCACAAGTAAAGTTTAAAGTTACTTCTACCTGTTTGTAAAATTTTTAAAGTCAATCAAGGTTCGTAGAAAGTGTACAGGGAGAATTAGCGACACAACTTTGTCCAACCGCAAAAGTTTCAGCATTCTTGATTTGTGTGTATGTCAATATCTCTTCCATTTCAACAGGAATGCAACAGTCGGCACCTTGCCTCCTAAATAGGCAACAACTCCCCACCCCACCCCACCCCCTTTCCCAGGTAACAACTCCTCACCCCACCCCACCCCACCCCCTTTACCAGGTAACAACTTCCCACCCCACTCCACCACCTTTCCCAAACGGTACATCTGTACTTTTAGGAAGAAGCCCATCCAGCTGAAGCTCGTCGCAAATGGATGGAAAGAATGGTTAGTCACCTGTTTCCAGTCACAGGTTAGTCAGCCACTTTAGAAGTTCACCCAGCCCCCCTAAAAGTTCACTGCTACCCATTTGTACTCCTGAGTGAAGAGAGACACTGTGATTGTTAAGTGTGTCGGCCATAAACACAACACAACGACCCTACCAGGTCCAGACCCCTGAACCCTGAGTCCGACGCCCCAACCAATAGGATAACGTGTTTTTTCATAAAACAATCCCAGTTCTAACCATCTCTACATGACTCGCGGTGTGCAATGTTTTTGTTTAACAATGACCTAGAGGAAAATAATTCGAACAGTACCGTAGTGCAACAGTAGAGGTCCTCAACTATCTGTATCTGTGAGGAACAGTAGATGCAAATTCACGGATCAATAGCCAGTGAATTGATCAGTCTTCTCAATTATAAAACATTTAAGGTCATAAATTTCTAATTGAAGATCTTCATTTTAATCATTAAAGCTTTATTCTCTGGCTTGTAAAAATGCTGGCTTTTTAATTACCGAGTTGGAGACCAAGGCCAGGTCGTTCAAAGCTGGGTTAAGATAACCCAGGGTTAGTGTGAAATTGGATTTCAGCTCTGAAAGCTTTAAAAGAAAATTCATTGCAAGTTTGTTTCGCTACAAGCTGATGAATGGATGCTCTAAAAAGAATAGAGAACATTATCCCAAAAAGGCTTTGAACAAAGGAATGAACAAACCTGGATTAAAATTTAACCTTGGGTTAGTGCTAATTGACCTTTGAACATTTGGGCAGTGACCCAAACATTGTGTGCGCACCCAGGAGTATAAAAGGGTAACCTTACAATAGACTGACATCCCATCCAGGGGGGAGTAGCAGCACTCCTTGTCACCTCATGTTATGGAAACTGGGATAAGCTTTACCTACCTACCATACATTTTATGTTTAATATTCAATTTGAATGATCCTACAGGCATTTTACTTAAATACAAAGCTGAAACTTTGCACTGGAACACTCAAATTCTGATTTAACCTCATCGAGTATTGTAAGAAAAATTGTACTGTAGTCTTACATATTACTCTTTATCATCTATTTATTGTTCTTAATTAAGCAATCACCTGAACTTAAAGTGCATCTTTTCCAGGCCTCAGAGTTTCCTGATGTTTTATCTCCCAGCACACATCGTGTTTGTTGAAAATATTTTTCTAAAAAATTTATTTATCATTTAGGTTAGATTTATTTGAGATGTATCAGCTACTTCCACTTACCTCTGAGTCAATTACATCATTCGTCAACCTTAAGTATGTAATTTAAATCTTTATATAAAAAAAAGTTACTTATGTTCAGCATTCTCTGGTGGGATTTGGAATAAAATTAAATATATATTTTTTAAAATGTACCCTGCATTAATTTTTTCCTGAGCCTAATTCATCAAAATTACAGTTTAGAGCCGTTTTCAATTGTGTGTTAAAGAACATTTGCCAAAGTAATAGCAACTAACAATCAGAGCAAATGTTAACGGCATGTTCAACCAATGAGAACTTAAAGTAAAAACTGGCAATCTGCTTGAAGCGCGGGAAAACGTGAGTGATCATATTAGGATTGGTTTAAGTTTTGTATTTGATTGGTTGAGATGGTGGCGTGAGTTTTTTCTAGACCAATCACAGATTAAAGTAAGGCAAACCCAAAGTAAACCAAGGTAAGGTCGCTTTCAAAACTCAACGGAAAATTGTTCTGTTTGGAAATCATTATTACCCATCTGTACAAGTGCATTTTACAGCGAAATAAACTTCTCATCACTCAACAAGCACTGTTGACACTAGAGCCAACCAAGAAGCATGGCAATCCTTCAGAGTATGCAGAAGGGATTGGAAGCAATTGTGAAATAATAGTTGTAACACTTTTTCTGTTTGATATCTTTCTAAAATTTGCAATTAGACAGGAAGTGAAGGTACCAAAAAACCCACAAAACTCAGATTTGATAAAAAAAATTTCCTAAAATTTTGTAAACCACAAATCTCACTTTATTTTTTTCAATGGGCAATGTGCTTTCACGATTTGAAAGCCATAATAAATCACTTATAAATGAATAAGTACTCCATTCTATAACTTACTGCAATGAATAAATGAAAATAAAAGGTTTCTTGTGGTTCATTCAAACAAGACAATAATTGATAATAAAATTTGTTTAATAAAGTGCAAATTTATTCATTATTTAAAGCAGTTCAATTCCTGTTGTTTGCAATATCAAGGAGCCTCATTTAAGAATACTTTTATTGCACCACAGCATTTTATTCATGAGTGGGATAATTCACTCTAAAATCAAATTCTACAGTGTTCAGGTAAATTATTGCATTTGATAATTATACGATAATTTGATAATTTCAAAATTTAATTATTTACAATATTTATCAATATATTCTTATGTTCATCATATTGAAGTCTTGCAAACATTAATTAAGAAAAAAAAACTCCCAAATTCAAAAAATCTTCTAGATTTCAGATGATAGTGAGGTGTTAGCATGATTCAAAACTGTTATAGTTACATGAATATTAGCACAAAAAAGTGGGAAAAAATGATTAGGCATTTATTGTAAGGTTAATTATGCATGTTAGTTTAGTGTGGTTAGTGTAATAGGTATGTCACATGCTGCAAGAAAATTAACAATGTGTGTGTAGCATCTGCCAATAAAAACCATTAAAACACAATCAAAGGCCAAAAACTGAAAATTTAATAAAAAATAAAATAAAAATTTAAAAAAGTTAACATTTAATTTAATATTTAAGCATGAAAAAGTAAAATAAAAAGTTATGCAAGTGCAACCTTAGTTGAACTGAAAATGAATTGAAATGTTAAGATAAAATTCAATCTCATGAGGAACCATTCAACTCCTCCACAATATTTTTACAAGTTAATAATATAAACATAATTTAGGACTTTTTCCTCAATATTTATCATTTTATTGTCCACCAGACACCTGTTCCAATGTTCCAATATTCCACTGTTCTACAGTGGAATCGTTTTATCAATAATGATTGCTATCAACAAAGGTTTGACCTTTCAACCAATCCAGTGGCTGTCACAAAATTTTCCAGAGGAAACCTTAAAACATTAATCCCCAAGAGAAAATGATCTCCAATTTAAGAGGCTCTCAATTGCCAAACAAATTCTCCCTGTCAGTATCATGGAAAATTTTAAGAGCACAGTTTGGAGAATACAAATACTGATGTTGAGGTGTACAGGGTTAAGAGTAGAATCTCTGGGCTTCATTGCCAACTCTAGTATTTCAAACTTCCCTACTGGCACCATGTCATGGTCACACCTTTGTTATTAGTCAGGTGTTAATTGCAGCCAATTTTTAACCCTAATGAATTTGAAGCTGGGTTCTCCAAATTTGACATTTTCTATTGATCCATTAGTTCCATACTGAATCTTTACACCTGAACTACGTTGACCAGTATTGTAATTAACATTACTTGGTATAAGGGTTTTTAAAATATCATGTTTTTTGTTAAACCAATTATTTCCAAAACTCTTTACTTGTAAAAAGCAGTAATGGCAATTCTCATTATATTTACAGATTATGAAATTTTTTTGCTGGCAGAAAAAGGTTATAATGTACAGTTGCAATAAAGAAGAGAAATTTATCAATTTCAGTCAAATTATACAAACATGTATACTTTCATTGTAATAAATAATGTTTTCAGAAAATTGAATTTCATCTTACAGAATTAAGATGTATTAAATTTATATTTTATGCTTCCATCAATTTAACACTTTAAGTTTGGACTAAGGCACCTTAAAGCAATTTCCAATTATTGTCTATTTTAGGTTATTGGTTGCCTTAATATCTACGTTCAGCACACAATGGCGTTTTTTTCCAGGTTTTTGGGGGCAATTTCTCCTAAAAATCCTATTAAAGTGCTTACTGCTAATGACTTCATCTGCTGAAATAAAAAGCTCTAAACCAAGAGAAATCCATTGATCACCTTATTGCAGCAGATAAATCTTCCATTAAGTTATCCCAAATGGTGGGACAATCCTTGATTGAAGATCTGTAGCATGCATTGTACAAAATACAAATCAAGAAGCTTTCCATACTAACTAAACCCATGATTCCGAACCTTCTGATCCACGTCGCCCTTGAAGATACTTGATCCCAGGCACACGGTCAAGAGAGTCCTTATCTCCTATCCCACTGTCATTAGAGTTAGCCACAGCATAACGATTGTTCTTGAGTTCTGTGGAATCTCTTCGTCTTCTGTGTTTTCTGTTGATTAAATTCAATGAACTCTGATAAGAATCTAAAATTTTCCCCCATCCATGGTTTCAGAACTGGCATACAATCACAAACAAGTTAAAACTACACACTAACACCACAACATTCGAAGCACCTCTCAGTTCTCTTGAACTAAAGATGCCTACTTCCAGAAATCTGAAATCTTGTTACATTGTGGGAAATTCAAACGTAGTGGAGAAAAGTGGCAATAGGCCATTTTACAGTTGTACATGTACTAAGTTGCCAAGCCCTTGATTTGGAGTGAGGCTGAAGGTGACCATGTTGTGATAGAGACCAGTATCTAGTTAGGGTGATAACAAAGTAATTTACATTTGAAAAGCAGCAACATTTGTATCATAACAAAGTCACCCTTAACCTCACTCCTGTTCAAGGGCTTGGCAACTAAGCACGCAACTGTAAAATGGACTATTACCCAATTGAATCTCTGCCCCTAGCCACATCTAAATACTTGTCTTTTCTACAATTAAATGGGAGTTTAAACTGGACATCCTACCTTATAATTAAAGCAATAATGATGATCGCAAAAGCCAAAATTATTATCCCAGCAAATACTCCACCATACAGAGATCCAGTGTCCACTCCAGTACGTTCTGCCACATCTACTGAAGCAGCAAAGTACAATGATCAAATCAGTTACAAAACTCACAATATTGATCATCAAACAATGGTTTAACATTATATTTTTAAAGGTACATGTAGCTATTTGCACAGGGTTCTGTTTATAGTTTAAGACATGATAGAGTATATATCTCTAGCCTAACCTGGTGTTTTGTTGTAAATGACTGGAGAGCTGACCTTCCCTGGATAACTAGTAAAAGCTTGAACCTGTTGGGGGAAGAGCACATCAGAAGCATCATTAATAACAGTTGATTAACAAGGATATTAGATATTTTGTGAATTTCGTCTCTCATCTCAGTCATTAGGTAGATATAACACTTGACCTCTAAGAGTGATTGGCATCTAATTTCTCTCTATAAACTACAATCCCTTGAATCAATTTTTCAGGTTACTAGAATAAAACAAACGGTCACCATCTAAAGAAGCTCTTGATTGCTAGGAATGTACAGAACACATGTAGAGAAGAGTATGGAGAATATGCATACTGATGTTAGAGTGAAAAGAGTTTAAGGGGTCAGTCATTCTTGACCCATTCTTAGCTCCCCCCACCCCCAGTCCACCAAAAGACTGAAAAAAACCTTCCTTTAATGTTAGTTAATTTCTGACACAGACATATACACACCCCAGCAAAAAAAAAAAACAAACAAAGAAAAATACAGGAATTGTGAACACTCCCAATCAACATTGATACTGCAGATGCTCTACAACTTGGACAAAGTACATACTGAAAACTCAACTAGTGATTTCAGTCGCACTGTGTGACTGAAGCCCAAAACTGATCACACTTTGACCAGTGTGAAAAAAGGGTGAAAAAGTGAGATTTCAAGAATCACACATGATTCACAATTTTAGTTTTGCATGGAATTAACTACAGTAGTTCATTAAAACTGTTACAATTGTACTTACATAAACTTTGTACTCTGCATTCTCCTTGAGACCAGTTAATAGATAAAACAATGTTTTATTGGTCAGCCCTTTTGTGATATCTGCTGTGCTGACGTTTCTCCCTGTGTTGTCAGAGTAGATTATCCTGTATCCCTGAATAATTCCATTTGGATACTCAGGTGATTTCCAAGTCACTAACAAGGACGTGGCTGATTTCTCTTCCAGTTTGACATCACTTGGAGCACCTGGTGCTGGAAGGGAATTCAAGAAAACAGTACGGAGAACATACCTACTGATGTTAGGGATTAAAGGGTTGAATAAAATAACATGATCACATTACAATAGACAGACAAGGATTACTATTGAATCACATTGTATCAATCAGTGCCCTCAAGTTTCATTTCCTTCCATAAATATTTGTCAGTTCTGTCCAAGTAAACCTAATGACAGTAGCCACACTCTTCTGTTATAATCACCCCCTCCCCCCCCCCCCCGGAATTACGGTCAAGTCGCTGACGGTTCAACTCGCCGACGTACAAAATCGAGTAGAGACGTCGGCGAGTTGGTCTTCAATCCAGTACGACTTATTAGAAGTTAAACACATGGAAAAGTAATAGGTCTTTAGGAAAAAAGCAATTTTTTTTCTTCCAACAAAGTTTATAAGGATCTCATGGCGAATAAAGCCAGGTAAACATCGCCAATGACTAAGAAAGCTTCAGACGTGAACGAGATATTATTGAGCGTGACAACGACACTGTAAATCTCAAATCACTGTAAATCTTTCATTATGTCAATCGGTCAGATTTTTTTTAAGAAACTTGGCTTTCTGGACAAGATATTCAGTTAAAAAAAACAAGTATTTTTATTTCCAACAAAGTTTATAAGGATCTCAAGGCGAATAAAGCAAGGAGAACATCGCCAATGACCAAAAAAGTTTTAGACGTGAACGAGTTATCTCGTTCGCGTCTGTCTGTCAGAAGCTTTTATAGTCATTTGCGATGTTTATCTTGCTTTATTCGCAATGAGATCCTTATAAACTTTGTTGGAAATAAAAAGAATTGTTTTTTTACTGAGGATTTTGTACAGAAAGCCAAGTTCTCTTAAAAAAATCCTGACCGATTGAAATGATGAGACTTTTCAGCATTGTTGTCACACGATAAATCTCGTTGGCGTAGTCATTGTCATTAGTCATTGGCGATATTTACCTTGCTTTATTCGCCATGAGATCCTTACAAACTTTGCTGGAAGAAAAAAAATTGATTTTTCCTAAAGATCTTTTACTTTTCTATATGTTTAACTTCTGATAAGTTAAATACTGGATTGAAGACCAACTCGCCGATGTTTCTAATCGATTTTATACATCGGCGAGTTGAACCGTCGGCGACTTGACTAAATACCCCCCCCCCCCCCCCCCCACTATTCCTTAAACAGGGGTTTCAAAATGCTTTGAGGCAGGCGTCAGACTCTGCCAAAGTGAGTGACTGTGAAAATTTCACTAAGGGCCAAGAGATAATTATTTTAACAAGAGTAACTGGAGACATGTTATCATGTAGCCAATGGAATTCTAGTGGTCATAAGCTTATTTTGAAATCTCTGTTTACAGTTGCCCACCAAAACGAGTAACAGCGTCCAATTTCTCTCAAATAAAACGATATTGTTAGGTCCTCTTACCTCCCTCCTTAGTCTCTATGGTCTGGTTACTGGAAAATGGACTCCACATTGGTTCCTTGTCATCATCTCTAGTTGCCTCAGATACACGCACTGATATGATAGCAAAAGGCTGTATCTTTTTTAGCTCTATGTCTCTGAAGGGATCTAGCCTCCATACAATATTGTCTGACGTTTCACGGGCAAGTCTCCTTTTCCTCCTCTTGTTTGTAACTTTTGCAGGGATAATGTAAGTATCGTATTTGTACCCTCCTTTTCTGTTCTTGAACCTCCAGAACATTCTTACTTTGAATATCACTATTATGCCATTTGCTCTTTTTGGTTTTGTCCATTTTAGACGCACACTGTAAGGTCCTGTCATGTTTGCCTCAAGTTTACCTGGTTTACTCGGGGCTGATAAAAAAAAAAAGGCAAATGTTTACCTAGTCTGTATATGATAATGTAGTCTGATTGTCCAGAGACAGACTGTTGTGGCAGGTGGTGACTTTTGTTTCGATAATCTGCGAGGAAGTCATCATCTAAGTCAAGGTAATAGTTGTTGTCAGTCAAATGTTTTAAGTCCTGTTCGTATAAGCTGATTGGTCAGGTGGTGCAATTAGGTCATGATTGGTCTCTCTATATAGTCTAAAGTATATAGTTAGTATATAGTAAATATCATTTTAGAAGTTTTATCATATGACAGTAAGGCTCTGCAGGCACAATCCAATGGAAAACCATAACAAAACTGACATATATAGTGCCAGCTGAGTTGACATTATTCCAACAGTTATTCAAATATTCAGGAGCAGATTACAACAATTCCACTTATGTCTAGAAAAGCATGCAGCAATGAAAATGGCAGATTTGACAAAATTTTGTCAAACCAATTGAATATTCATGGTTCAGTGATTTCTGTGCATTTTAGTTAAACTTTTCAAAGTGAAATCAGTTTGGCAGAAAGATGATTTTGACGAATTTTAGTCACAAATTTTAGTCAAATTGGTCAAAACAAAATCAGCTCAGCAGATCTGGCAACTTTGACAAATTTTTGCCTTTTTAGTTACTGCAAGCACTTCTGGACATACCAAGGATTCACCTTGATTCATTAGATCCCTGGTGCAAAGCAGATGTAAGAACTAACCTGATTGTTTTGTTTGAACAATCACAGCAGAGCTCTCCTTTGTACCTACACTGTTTTGCACCCTCACTTTCACAGTGTAGTTGGTGTATGGCTCCAGATGTCCAATGACAACCTCAGTAACATTTTCCTTAACAGACACCAAGTGCACACTGTCTGGGATAAAGACAGAGTATGTTTTTATTGGTCCATTGGGTTTCTTTGGGGGGTCCCACTCCACACGAATAGACGTCCTGTTGACTGCATATGCCCTGACATTCTCAGGAGGTCCAGGTGCTAGATAACAGAATAAATTCTTATAAGGTCAATTACAAATTAAAAGAAGCAGACCAAGGTTCTTACATGTAATTCTCTTTTGATAAATGACCCAAGTCTAAAGTGTGTGAATGATAATTCTTTTGAGAGTTGTGTCAGATGGGGGTTATTATGAAGAAAAGCTCCCCTAGACTGACTATTTCATCAACTCATGTATTAATAAATGAATATGAGAGTTATCTCTGCAGTAATGACCACCTGTCATCCATCTGTGTCAGTCAACAGTTGGCCATTAGTCAGTCGACAGGTTTTTTCCGGGAGTTGTTCTTCACAATTAACCAGATGGGTTTGGGAATGAATTCCTAATCAGATTGCTATTGTACTTTCCTAGGTTTTGGTTTTACAACTCTCAACTGAATTCTGCATCATTCATTACTTCTACATACAAGCAATACCAACAAACTACCAGTATGTCTTTTACAGAATACAGAGTCTCAATCTTACCTGCTGCACCAGTCATTGCTGTGACACGCGATGGGTCACTAGTAAAGTGCAAATTTGTTGCAAGCAATTGTACAGTATACAAAGTATATGGCTGTAAATCAGTAAGCACGTAAGAATTGTCTTGTGGAGAAATTCTTTTTGTCAACCAGGTGCTGTCCTGATCCATACGGTATCGTAAAGTGTAGTACTGCAGATGTAAATTGCTCATGCTATCTGACAGTAATGACCAAGTGAAGGAGAGAGAGGTTGTGGACCGTGCTTCAAGGTTAAGTTTGACAATTGGTTTATCTAAAGACAGATGCAAAAGAATGGTAAAGAGTTATTAAGATAGATTCTCTCCAAACCTCAATCTTCAATTAAGGTAAAACATTTATGATGGAATGGCAACTAAAAAACAAAGATGAGTTGAACAGGAGGACCAAGTGCTGGATGCAAATATGATCACCTAAATGTAGCAGAATTCTGAATTTTAAAAGCAAATACATGTCAAATCACAGAGACAAAGAAGTCATTTCAAAAATCCTAATTGACAAATAAATTATTTCTATGTGTCTTTGAAAGACTGTTCTGTTCAATTCCTTAATACCTACAGTAGGTGAAAGAGTTTTTTGCTCTTGGCTCCCATTTAATAAATGGATGAATGGATAAATCCTCCATCAAGTGGATAGAGATTCAGCACAGAACACAGCTCAGAGCATTTTTCTGAAACTTATTTAATGGATAGTGATTTATTCATTGGATAGCATTATCACTCTATGGACAACTGGGCCCTAAAATGTATTTGGACAAATGGAGGACAGAAATTTGTCCTCTATCAAAATTCCTGAGTTGGTTTTCAAGAACTAGCATGGCATCTAGGAGGAGTAGCCAGTTACAGGCTGTCTGACAGCCATCTATAAATTAACACCTCTAACAGTTGTCTGTTTAGTCTAGCTGCAAGCAAGCTCTCTTGTTTGATATTCATGGCACCTTTTCTAGTCACAGCCACCTATTACACCATCAGCAGCCACTAATGAAAAAAAAAGTTATTGAAACCCCTGCAATTAAATTTAACATACCAACTTTCACCAGACGTATATCATAGGAATCCTTTCCTTTACTGTTCTCCACTGTACATGTGTACGGCCCAAAACCATCGGAATCCTGTGGAGTTACCTGCAGTACTCCACTCTCCTCTGAGGTTGCTACATGACCAGTTGAGTTAGTCCAGATGTATCGAGGAGCTGGGTTGCCGTCAGCAACACATGACAAATTTGCCGTATTCCCTGCCCACACTGGAACGTCTTGACTTGATGCAGTCCTATTAATAACAGGCTTGTCTTGTTGGGGAAAGACAAAAAAAAGTAAATCAAATATGGTCAATTTAAAAGATCATTTTTCTTAAAATAACCATAAAACAACTCTTTCTGAGGCAAATACATTGTATTTTGGTTACCACCAAAGCAAGACATGGTCAGAGCTGGAGAAGATAGACACAAGCAAGTTTTAAGTTGTCAAGCTTATGATTCCACTCACATTGCCATACTGGTTATAAAGATCCCATTTTTCCTCAATAGGCCATTTTACAGTTGTGCATGTACCTAGTTGCCAAGCCTTTGATTTGGAGTGAGGCTGAAGGTGACCTTGTTGTGATAGAGACCAGTATCTAGTTAGCATGATAACAAAGTAATCTGCATTTGAAAAGAAATAAGGTTTGTATCACAACAAGGTAAACCTAATAGCCTCACTACTGCTCAAAGGCTTGGCAACCAAGCACACAACTGTAAAATGGACTATTTGTAGAACACAGCTAGCCATTTACTTTAATACCACTATACATTATACATACTTTTTGACTGAAAAGGAGGGCCTGAGTGGAGAAAGCATTTTGCTTTCTATTTTGAGGGAATAATATCTCTTACTTGCTTGCTTTCCTCACTCTGAGAAAAATTATCAACACTTGAACATAAAATTAACATCCACATGACACACATAATAAGTATATCTTCTATGTACAGATGTTTCAAAAAACACTAGTTACCAGTGTTCTGCCAATTGCCCTGTTAAGACCACTTACTGCCATCTCTTTAGCCTGCAGTAGGGTCTTGTGGTTGGGTTCTGTGTTATAGCCCTTCTTCCAGAGCCTGAGAAAAATATATTTAAGCCCCTGCTTTGCATATGTTATATCATAATTAAAGTATTCACTCACAGTAAACATCAATCCTAAATTCTGCACTTGCATATCCAAAGCCATTAGAAGCCACACATCTGTACCGTCCCTTATCAGATCGCTGAGCATTTGGAATAAACAAATTCCTTCCTCTGGCAACCAGTTTATTGCCTCGTATTTTCTCCCATGTTATTTCTGGAGGTGGGTAACCTTTGGCATCACAAAACCCTGATACAGGGGAATCTTCATCTACAGCCACGTTGGCTGGTTGACGAGTGATCTCCGGTTTGTCTGAAGAAAAAGTTCAGAACCATTTTGTCTTGTAAGGTGAGCTTAGAAGTAAGAAAAGAAAGATGTTTCTCACACACCAAGTGGGGGTCTGGGTTAGAGTTGAGATATCTTGTATTGTACTCAATCATGTGACCCAGTTTTTAATTTCCTGCCATAAGAAGCCATTACAGCTTTCCTACCCACACTTAGTCTCCAAAATGTTCTAATTGTAGGTGTTTTGTTGGGTTGTCATTAATCAAAAGCTGCTGTTGCATTTCTTTCCGTGGCACACAAATGATATGCAGTGTGAGGGATGTGAGGGATCCAATTGTCACTGAAGAGTTCTTTAATTCACATGACATAACATGTGTTTGTGTAGCACTGCTAATGGCATATACTGTATGTATGCATTTGTGATATTTAGACAAGCTGGCCTAGTTCAGCTCAAATCTGGTATGAATGGGGACCTGTATACACAAAAACCAGGTCAAACCACAACACTAAGAGATATCTTTCCTACTATTTGTGAAAGGTTTGTGGGTCCTTTAATATCCCCCGCCAACCAGAGAAGGTGCAAGAGACCGGGCCTAAAGTTTATTGTCTTTATCCGAGAAGGCTGGAATGTCTCGGCATCTGTGTATGTCATGGCTGAGGCAACACATTTTCCTCAGTTATTTTAAGACCCTGAATGTTGGTCCGATCCAGGGCTTGAACCCTGGACCTCCCACACAGTAGTCTGGTCCTCTACAATGTGAGTTAATCACAGGCACAGTTAGCTAACCAAAGTAACCAAGATAAAGGTAGGCATTGCCAGGCTACCATACAAGTTTTTGAAAATAAAAGTTAGTGCAAAATCATCAATCTGTGAAAGAGTCACTGGTCCAAAGTGATCAGGCCTCTTGTTCAAACACAAACAATTATGTCAGAGATGTTTTAATTCCCAGTAACTTGACTTACGTCGGACGTATATGGTGACCTCCTTTTTGGGACCTTTGCCTTTTTCATTTTCTGGTACACAGCTGTAGATTCCACTTTGCCTGAAGGTAATGGCTGTCACATTTAGTACACCTGATATCTCTGCCTTTCTATCTGTTATAGGCTTATCTTCAATAAAAAATTGGTAAAGTGGTTTAGGATTCCCATATGCTTCACAAGTGATTGAAATGCGAGTACCATCACTAACTGTGTCCTGATAAGCATCTGTGGTAATGTTGGTTTCCTTGGGTGAATCTGAAATTTAACAACAAGCAACATTTTTAAAAAATCTGAAATCAATAATTAAAAACAATAGGGTTTATGATCACAGGCAATATACTTTGGGCCTGACTTAGAGTCATTTTAGCCCAAGCTGCTAGGCAAGGTTTAAAATGACTCTGAGAAGGGCCCCAAAACATACTGATGCCCAAGAACACAAATTGTATTGTACCATTATCAACACTGTAAATTTGGAGAGACATAGAATATAAGAGAAAAATATATTTTAGCTCACCAAAATCGATTTTTGGCCTACAAAATGTGCCGCAAAGCTGCACAAAAAAAACAATTAAAGAAGAAGTACCTATTTAAGGATAGTGCTTAATTGAGGAGGCTGCTTATCATTTTCCTGTACTGATTCTGTTGTAGTTATTAAAGCTTAAAAAGTTTTGAAGAAAGTGGTAATAGAAAGAGCTTTTCCTTGCATCCCTAGTATTTAAGAAAGTAAAGAAAGAATGGAGGATTGCACATTGGGATAGTTACATGTTTGACATTATGGCCTTCAAGGGTGGGTGCTTATTTGGTGGTGGGCCCTATCAGAGCCCAGATGCTAATTTGAGGAAATGACGTCTAGCATGAGAGATTTAAAGTTAATTAATCACATAACACTACACTTACACTGGACATTGATTTTGACTTTTTTTTCTTCCCTTCCACCAGCATTTTCAGCAACACATCTGTATTCCCCATGATCTTTGTAAGTTAAGGGTGAAAAATTCAGAGAGGAAATCTGCCGTGTCCTATTGAAAACTGTTTCTCCTCTCTTCCATGAGACCCTTGGTTTTGGCCGCCCATTGGCCTCACAAGTAAGTTGTAAATTTTGGCCTTCATTCTTGTTAATTTCCTTTGGAAGAACTGTTGTAATCCGTGGAGGATCTATAAAAGAAAACAATTCAGTAAGGAATATCCAAGGTTGTACAAAGAAGCAAATAAAGAAATACTGTGAAGAAACTTCTGTGTACCATCACTGAAAGCACATAGCTGAAATTTTTTCAAGTGGGGTCAGTTACAAATTTATGCTTCCATCATGAGAAGATGCTAGTATTTCTGCTTTATCTTGTCAGGGCAGGAAACTTTAGCCATTCAAACTTCTACAACAGGCAAATTGATTTTCCGTTCAGACAGGAAAAATTGTGATCTACTTGTGCAATTGGATTACCAAAAAAAGGCCAATAAACCTTTTCTCTTACCTGAATTTGATCACACAATAAATTGTTTTCCAATAAAATTCATTTCTTTGCTACCCATAAAAATAAGTACTGCTTATTGATAGTGGAATAAATAAAATTTTGAGTAGGTTACAAGTGTTTGATTTGGCAATGCATAGTGCAGCCTTTAATTTGCAAGTAAACCCCACATATCTTGTTGTTAGTAGTAGTTTTTGTTATTAAGTAGTAGAATTAATTAGCCCACCTCCCCTTAAATGGATGCTGACAACCCTTCCCTCAACATAGCAAAAATTAAGAGATCTTGTAGTTCATCTTTAATAACTTAGTGCTCGAAAGTCTCCTCTTTCTCCCTAAATAACATTGCAAGAGATTAGTGACCATTTTGTCAACACCATGCAGGCAAAATTGAAATGGGGGAGAGGAAGAAATAAATGAAAGTTGAAGAAGAAATTCAAAAGCTAGTAGTATATGCAAACACTTTTTCCACCCATTGTAGGCCATGCTCTAGGTGCAGATGTGACGCCCCTCAAACAAACTGAAACAATAAGCAAGGTCAAAAGCTTTCTACATGGAAACTGATTTTGATCTTATGGAGACCAAAAGTCTGACAGCACTGAGAATGATACTTAAACTGACCTGTTTTGGCAAAACATTTATTAATTTCTTTCCTTTCTCCTTTTTCAGTTGAAAGAAATCTCAAAGAATTGGTTATTTCATTACCATGATTTGATTTGTTTTGTAATGAAAAAAAAAGTCTTGAAGCTAGATATAATAAATATCTTACTAAACTTGTTTTCGTGGACAATACTGTAAATTACAGAACCCTGTTAAGTCCACCTTAATTTTTGCCCTGTGCACTTGGCACTTGGCCATAAATCTGAGCAGAAAACAATTTGGTTTGCAACTTACAGTACAGAACTCCAACTCAGTTAGTAAGAGATAGATACCCACAAAAACATCTTAAACTTATTTTATGAATATGTGGGGTCACATTAACCCTGTAAGTTTACACTACTAAATTATGAATCAACATTTTTAATTTTTCACCCAATTCTTTAAAACATCAGGGTCCCCCTATGCCATCTAACACATTTTAATTTAAAGAAGGTTTAATTTCCAGCTGCAACCAACATCCTGAATTGAAAGTGATTTTAAACAAAAGTGAGTGCCAACTCTATATCCTGTTTTTAATTTTTGTTTTTAATTAACAATTGAGACAACTAACTGAAAAAAGACTGATTTACATTTAAATGCTAATAAATAAATGCAGGCAACAGAGCTGTAATCATGAGAAAGTCAATTAGTAAAACTGCTCCTTGCATCACCAACACAATTAATTTTCAAGGGCTTCTCATAGAGAAATTATTGGGTCTGACTTGAAAGTACTTGAAAGGACTTGAAAGTATTTTGTAAAGTCAAATAAATGGTGTCAAAGAAAGCAAACAACTTTAAGATCTACGGCGGCTTACTTTTTACAGTCTACGTGCCTGACTTTCATATTTTCCTTGTCACAGCAGCCTGCTTCAAATTATACAGACGCCCACTACAAATCCTCCTGAGAACCCTTTTTACACAAAAAGAAATTCATTTCCAGCAGAGGATTGCAAAGTTTTGTTCTTAAGCCATTCAATTTGTCTATTTATCACAGCAGCCTGCATCATATTTGGCAAATGCCTTCTTCAAATCTAACTAAGAACACTGTGGTGCACTTGAAGTTTCATTTCCAGCAGAGGATTAAAAGGTTTTTCTCATACACCTTTCACTCCCAAGATCTCGATCCAACCAGTAATTCTCCGTACTGTCTGCCAAAAAGGTGAGTGAGTGCCAACTTGTAGGGAGTTTCCTTGCATGGGTACTCACGTCCCGTTCGTTACTCCCTTTTGGCAATTTTTTTTTTTTTTTTTTTTTTTTTTTTTTTTTTTTTTTTTTTTTTTTTTGTACGTGTAACTTCTCGTTTATTACTTTTGTAACTCAGTAGAATGCCAATAAAATTAATTAAAAAAAAAAAAAAAAAAAAAACTCTATATCCTGTTTTTAATTTTTGTTTTTAATTAACAATTGAGACAACTAACTGAAAAAAGACTGATTTACATTTAAATGCTAATAAATAAATGCAGGCAACAGAGCTGTAATCATGAGAAAGTCAATCAGTAAAACTGCTCCTTGCATCACCAACACAATTAATTTTCAAGGGCTTCTCATCAAGAAATTATTGGGTCTGTGTACCACCCTCAATAATTCAATCCATGCTGTCACAGCATGAAAACTTGCTGAACATAATGACCATCATATTTCCCTCTACTAGACACAGACATGCCTTAATTACTATAATCACAACAGTAATTGCATACTAATTGGAAAGGAGCCCTTGAGCAGTCATGCTATAATGAACATTGTGTGGGCAATTGTCTTTGTGAAGTGAAGCCTGCCCCGACATTTTCAAAATTTTTTTAAGATAGCATCGACCACAAACACTGTTCGCTTGATCAATTATACTCCCGTCAAATATTTTAATGAGTGTAATAGTCATTGCGACAATGATTTACCAGTTTGTCTACAAAGCTTTGGTCCTTAAGCTTGTAAGTTCTTTGAATTTATTGTTACCAAAATATTCAAAATAGTATTTGAATGAATCGTTTTCTGTTATTCTGCCCTATCTTTACTCAGGTTAACCCCCAATCAAGTAGCCAAACATCTCTATCGCTAGATCTTAGATTGCAGGAAATTTGCATAAGTTGAAAAAATTGTGCAATTGTGTTCTAAATCTTCCATTTTTTTAAGTAACCTAACATAACCACTCATGGTAAAAAAATTGTGAATAGGACTTGAAAGTATTTTGTAAAGTCAAATAAGTGGTGTCAAAGAAAGCAAACAACTTTAAGATCTACGGCGGCTTACTTTTTACAGTCTACGTGCCTGACTTTCATATTTTCCTTGTCACAGCAGCCTGCTTCAAATTAAGCAGACGCCCACTACAAATCCTACTGAGAAACCCTTTGTACACAAAAAGAAATTCATTTCCAGCAGAGGATTGCAAAGTTTTGTTCTTAAGCCATTCAATTTGTCTATTTATCACAGCAGCCTGCATCATATTTGGCAAATGCCTTCTTCAAATCTAACTAAGAACACTGTGGTGCACTTGAAGTTTCATTTCCAGCAGAGGATTAAAAGGTTTTTCTCATACACCTTTCACTCCCAAGATCTCGATCCAACCAGTAATTCTCCTTACTGTCTGCCATAAAATTCTTACAATCTTGGTTTGGAGAATTTGGTATTGGATCAACTGATAATTAATACCCGAACTGATATTTTTCTTTATTCTTGTGACTTGTCTGCCTGGTATTGCATTAAAATTGTAGGGAGAAATCCTGTCTTGGTCACTAATAGGATTTAAAGAATTAAAAGCTTCAATTGCATCTAACTTGACTGCGTTAGTTAAAAGAAAAACAAAACCAAAAAAAAAAACAGCATTAACAAGAGTGTACCAAAACCAACATTTTCTAGTAAGAAAAACCGTATCTCACCAAACTTTCTACACTATATATACAAAAGACACAAAAACATGTGTATCAACCTTGTAACTACTCAGATGCTACATGTAATTCTCTCTAAGGTGCGACACATTTAACTTAAAAATAGGTTGTGAGAATTTGGGATTACATCAAGATTAAACCCAGTAGTTCAGTTATCTTTGCCTCTCCTTATTATGTTTGCTAGATTTTAGATTCTAAAAAGAAAACCATCAATTTTTTAATCAGCCAGAGGAGTTAAGTTTAAAAGCGTGAAAAAATAAAAACCTAAGGATGAAATATTGTTGAACTTTACTGGATGACATTACAGCAAGGGTTTAGCCTTTTCACTAACAGATCTCCTGATCACTTCTCCTTACTGTTAGTCATAAAATTCTTCCGATGTTAGTTTGAAGAATTTGGCATTGGATCAATTAATAATCCCCTAACTGACATTTTCATTTATTCTCAGTCCTTGCCTGCTTGATATCGTCTTCATATCTAAGGAGAAATTCTGTCTTGATCACTTATAGGAGTTTCAGGGTTAAAAGACCCCAAAAATATAAGGAAGACTACTATAAGTGTTTAGACAGCCAGCAATAACAAGGCTAAATGATCAACAGCAACTATTTTCAAACTCATCTCACTTGTAAGCTACTCTGTACCTTCCTGCCATTTCAACTTTATGCCTGAATGCAAAAAAAAAAACCCTTACAAATTATTAATACATGAATCCAACACCCAACTTCCAGTTAAATGTTTGGAACACCCATATCCAAACACAAATCAAATGTCACAGATATTAGAACACATCAGTTATGGTCACAATATTAATATTCTTTCAACCTCTTAACATCCTGGTCAAAAGATTTCTCCTTTCAATTTTTCTTTTCCAAGACAAATTTATGTAAGACAAATTTTATTCATAAAAAAGATGAATTTAAGAATCAGCAGATTTTAAATTACTTAAATGTTCATATTATCTTGACATTCTAATTTTGAATATGACTGATTTTTGTATGTTTTTCGCATTTGCATCTAAAAGCGATTTTTCACCGTCATATATCAAGTGTCGTTCTAAATTGAAAATTCCATCAATGATTACCCACAAGGAAGTATTTGAATAAAAACATTACGTACAATACGAACCAAACTTTCCAAAATATTTCACCACAGCTAAATCTGAATTTAATATTGGGAGATAACAATGAAATATAAAAATAGGCAACTTACACGGGAGCGAAACACAGTGTTTGCTAAGAAAAAAACAAAGTTCCCCACGCTGTTTCATTGACATTGACACCCTTGCGGAATAAATTATTTACTAATCGCAAATCATTTGAAGGTTGTGCCAAAAAAAGACCTCTCAGGAGTTGGCAAAAGAAAGGATTTTTAATTACTTGGAGCAGCTGGTCTCTTAAAAAATTATATGTAATGAATTCTGTGAAAAAAACAGTAGTTGCCTATTCATCAACAGGACTTCAATAATGTCCGCTCGGAGTCAAAACAAAGCCCTGTACGGTCTGCTAAACTCCGTTCTCGATTTTTTAAGTCCAGTTTACAATTCGGCGACAATGAAATGCGAAAGAAGAGCAGCAAGGACACTTAAAAAATTCTAAATAAACGGATAGCGTAGTAAGGGCTTTGTTTCACTCAATATGCGGTTTTTGACCTACAGGGTGGCTTCTTGCGAGGACGATCTGCGATAGAAGAAGTCACGAACAAATTAATTTCCAGCTAAGCAAATGCATTATCCCTTTCTCAAAAATACCAATCACACCATTACAACAAAATGCATTATCCCTTTCTCAAAAATACCAATCACACCATTACAACAAAATGTTCTTCGGGATTGACTTCTAAACTTACCATTACCAATTTATCTTGAATGCGTTCTCCCTGATTTCAGACTTATTCCATAGGTCTTTAGCATTCGCATTAGGTTATTCATTCGATCGTAAATGGTTTGTTGACATTTCCATTTCGAACGTTTGATCATTTTGTTCCAAAATTTGTTTCTCCGAGCACGGCATTAAAATGCGGCCAAATATTCAAAGTACAAATGGAAAAGTTTGAATGTAGAAAGAAAAGCAAACAGTAAAGAAATATTGAAAATTATAGTGACCTTGCAAGTGACGCGGGTGACTAAATCAATGTAATAACTGTTATTCGCGATTACATGAAACCAAATCTAACAGTGCAATAATAGAATGGACGAAAATTAAAATTTGAGGCAGATCACGGACAACTTCCTTTACGAGAAGCCTTATTTACATTCCCTTAACGCAGCTTCATTCAAATCTAAACAATCTGATACCTCCGTAAACAGAGGGAGTTGAAAGGACAGCTTTATTGCTATCCCTATCGATAATATCACAAAGTGTACAAAATCGTAGCCGAAGATAAAATTGTGTTACATCTCTGGTTCACCGAAGTCCGAAATACCGATTATTACTCTGAAAATATTTTCAAACAAACCTCTCAAGCAATTTAAGCTGGTTTAACCCAAACATAGAGATTTTGTGGCGATCAGAAGCGAAGAAGTGTACTGTTGACAAGACAACTGGCCGGGTAAATAACTCAGGAAGCATAGCAATTTACAACTGTGATTTGTTCTCAATCGGCATTTCCTTAGGATCATTAATGAAACTGCTGAAAAAGATTCTCATGTAAAAACGGTGGTTTCAAGACAATTTGTTATCTCATTGTTTGTTTCCTTCGCTTTCTCTCGCGTAACAGATTTTCTGCTTGATCAGTAATTTTATCTCTATGTGATCTTGGTAAGCTGTCTGTTTCATAACTAAATGACCGCACCACCAAATATCAGGGATCTTACAAATCTGGTTTCCTTCTCGGTTACTTCATTTGAGCATTGAGTCCATAGAGCGCAATAAACGCATCCATTACTTTATGCACGATTGTTAATGTTTACTAAAAGCTACAAAAGTGCTCCGAAGAGCACATAATTAAGCGCTTTTATAATACTTACATCTCGCTGTCATTGTTGAACGGGTCTCATCGCCTGTTTGAACTGTATTCTAATCAACCGCGCGGCTAAAAGCTAAGCCGAAGATGGAGAGAGTACAAAAAAAAAACACAAAAACATCACACTTACCTATCACTTCCAAGGATATTTTTTCTCTGGCGGTGACAAATAACGTACTGACTTCGCACATGTAAAAGCCCTCGTCTGATAGATCAACCCGCTTGATCGTGAGCGAAATAGTTTGGCTCTGCCAAATCATGTGGACTCTGCCGGAAAATTTGGAAGGCATCTCATCTGATGGCTGAGGTTTGTCCTGAAATTTGCCTTTAACAAAAAGTACGTCTTTCAATGTAGGGGTCGAGTCTTCCAAACCGCTTGTGCTTGTTCCACATAATATTAAAGGTTTCTCTCCAGGTTTTATTTCCAAGGTCCAGTTCAGAGAGACATCTTGCCGAACATTTACGCTAACTTTATCTCTCACTGCGGTTAGCTTCTGTGCCCTAACCGAGACACCTACAGATCAAACAGAATAATGAAACAGTTAGGATCAAACTCACAGAGGGCTCAAGAAATCTGTGCAAGACAAAAATATTTGCAAACTTAAACAAGTTCGAAGAACTTGACCAGTAGTGGTGGAACTGACCTATAAAGATTATGACTACACCAGACAACCACGAAAGTTTACAGAGCAACATTGCTATTAGCTCTAAACGTCTTGTTACCGACTACCCAGAAATGACAACAACCTCCAAAACTAACATATCGTTCTTAAAATCATAAACACGCTCGATGAAAGAGTCGTATTACTTCTCACTCCAATTAACGCTTCAGCTTTTGCATATTTTTTGCGCATCACCAATTCAGGCTTGTGTACCGTAAAATTATGGCTGCATTATCAATTACATTCCTTCGATGACACTTTGATCACGTGGGTGGTATCACTTGTCACTTCTGAGTGGTTGAAATCAGCATGACCGCCAAATGCGAACCAATCAAAATCATTCATTTTAGAAGAACAATTTCTTTAGGTGATTGTTCGTAAGAATTGCTTCATCCATAACATAATTAAACCTTTTGGTAAAATTCGAAGCACTTTGTACCTAAATTGACCCGCAGGACAGCTTTTAACTCAGTTAATAGTCTGTTTTTGGAATTAAGTGCAAAACAAACATTACTCAGGCTGATAATTTCCTAAACGTACTAATATCATCTTTTATCATGTTTTTCCTGATGTATAAAACCATTACGGTTTAATATTTGGGAAAATAACTACTTACCTCCGCGGTAATGTTTATATAAGGGTACTGTATAATTGATAAAGGATCGCAAAAACGAAAAAAAATCAATGCGAATCCGCGTCAAACAACACATGAACGAACTATGTAAAATATTTTAATGTCACTTTTCGTCGGAAGGGCGTCGAAAAATGTTTTGATTAAAACTGAAGTGCGTTGTTTTCAGATTTATTCTCTACTTCCCGCGTAATCTGACACCAAATTACGCTCTCAACTGTTTTATTACTCTCATGCAGAGTTATCAAGGATTCGTGCTAAGAGTTCCAACTTCCCATTTATTAATCACCCACGGTGAGCGAAATTTGAGGTTTAGTTTAAAGAAACTCCAATAACAAAACAGAATAATACAAATCATTATAAAAGTTCAACTTCAGGGTTAAACCCACACAGAAGATTCTTCAAATGACTGTGTGGGAACTGTTAGGCCTCTGATAAACAGAGAATTTCATGTCGGCGTCCGTCAAACCGCTGGCTAATGCATAATCGGCGGGCGGGCGTTTCTGATTTGTCACAATGGAATCGGGACGACACAATTCGCACTCGTAAACAAATAACATAATGTTGTATAATAAAACGGGATATATGATTTCTTGTTATTTATTATTGCTTGACACACGTCTCTTTTCAGTGCTACCCAGACGCTAACAAGAAGTAAAATCATGGAAAAATTGGGAAAAAAATAGAAAAAGAAATTTGGACGGTTCCATTCCATCTTTTATCTTTGAAAAGAAAATAAGTATAATATATACACTTTCATGATGTACAAAAAAAATTGATCAATCTATTTCGCACAATGACAATGACAGTTGCAGTGTCTGGCTTAATCTTTTATCTTAAAAGATTCGCCGATTACATGTAATTGTTTCATCTCCAGATTTGATTTGCACGAAAATGCAGGCATCTTTTCTTCGTGTTTCTCAGCCTCTTTCCGGTCCCTTTTCCCTTTTTATAATGATGCTAAAAACGACTCAAATATATATAAACATACCAACGAAATGCAAGCCGGAAACCGCTTATAAAATTTTACCTTGAAAAGCGCCCCATCCGGTCAAACCAGTACATTTGATCGCAACTTAAGGTATCAAAAATTTCATAATACGCTACCGTCTCAGCGGAGGTTTTCGTATCTAAGCCGATCAACTTAAAACCTTTGTTAGATTCTGATCATTTTTAAACAGACCCAGAGTCGCTGCTGGTATGCAATAAACTTCTCAAGTTCACTTCAGTTCCAAGTGAACTAAAAACTTTTCAAGTGTACACATATTACCCTATTTTGCCCCAAAGACGAGATGATCTTTTAGTCTCACGCAAGTTTGCATGTGCAGCATCGAAGCCAGAAAATCACTTGATTGTTTTAGGTTTAGAGTGTGGGCAAATCTGTCATGAACTTTTCATTTACAGTGCAATGATAATCTTTTCTATGATAACGTACTTATTAGTAAAGCTTAAGCCACTTCGCCAGACCACTTATCTTATTAACGTTTTACTTAACACTTTTCATCTGTTCCGACATGAATTTGTGCAACGATCATGACAGATCACTGACCAGTTGGCTAATCGGATTTTCACAATTTTTGGCATAGAATTTATCTCTACACCATTAAGCTTTTGTTCATCGGTATGCCTTCTGCTATTACTTCACCTAGCGCCTGCTCTAAGGTAGTATCTGCAATTAATAACTATTTTATACTGTAAATTTTCTTTTGCAATTTTCTTTTTTGCATGAGTTAAGTATCGCCAAGAGAAAAAATAATGGAACAGAGTTGGAGGCTCATAGTCGAGGCTTTGGGAAATGTCAATTTAACCGCCCTTGGTTATCCCATGTTGTACATGCCGGACTGCCGTGCGTGATGTCGGAGATACAAGCCCAGACCGGTCCAAAACTCAGGGTCCTTAAATAACTGAGGAGATGTGCCGTCTTTGCTACGACATCCGCAAATGGTTAGACGATTTAGTCTTCTCGGACAAGGACGATAAACTAAAGGCCCAGTCTCCTGCATCTTCTCTGTACTAGTTAGCAGCCGACGTTCAAAGAACCCATGCACTTCTCACATAGAGTAGGGAACATAATTTTTGGTGTTGTGTTCTGGCCTTGTTATTGTCAATTCAGAACCCAATTTTAAGCAGCCTTAAAACTAAACTGGGTCGTTTTTTACTGGCCTTTACTCCTTTTTTGCGGTGGCTTTGGCTCCTAGCTCTCAACGTCCTAAGATCTCAGTCATTAGCATCAGGAATGCTGAATCCGGGGGGTGTTGAGTTGGGAATTGAAAGAGCGTGGCCTCAGCGGCTCACCCCCCTTTATACAATGTACGGTTAAAATGAATTTTCCTGGGTCCCACCCCCCACAGGATACCATAGCAGCTTCCATTACCTGCTTTTCAACCCCTGTTTTACTTTCTCTACTACATCTTTATTCTGCCTTCCATATTAGCTGTCTTACAGGGTCGATCGAGTAACTCTTCGGTGCCTCTTCTTCAGTAGAACCCGTTGTATGAATCAAAGCCAAATTCACGTTTACGACTTCTTGAAATTGGTTGCCCGAAAATCATGCAGTCATTACATATTTCACATTTTACTTGATTTTTCACTGAGGATGACTTCATCTTTGCCAAGTGTCTTTTTTTTTCTGTTACAACAGATCTATGCTTTACGTATAACCAATCCGAGAGCAACCTGCTCTTTTGAGCCACATGTTGTTCGCGTAGTTAGAAAGCTACCAAAAATTGTCTCCAACGCTAGTCAAATGCAGTCCCTTATCCGGAAACATCGGTACCAATATCAAAATTTGAATCATATCATGAACTAAAATCTCACTTAGAAAAAATGGTGCCTTGTACCAAGTGGTTTGGTCGTTTCTCATACGCACCTCTTTTATCCGAGTACAGAGTTTACTGTTAGTGGTATTGTGGACATGTTTGAAAACTACTCATAAAGCACCGGTGTAAATGTCACACCGACAACCACGTGAACTTGGGAAAGTTTTCTCATCCATTCCAGCCCCACCCCGACCCCCAGCCCCACCCAACCCTTCCCCTTTCAATCTCTCAAGCTCGTTACAAAGTCATAATCCGTCAAGCTGATCATTTTTAAAGAACTTACCGTTTTAAGGAATTTCAACACTGAACATACGTTGATTTCTACGTGTCCGTCTGATGGAGATGAATGCTCAGATTTTATTTTCTGCAGCAAGAACTATTGGAAAAAACTGCTCAGTTAATTAAAATGTGTCCGAACAAATAAAAGGTTGATCTTCATCCACGTACCCCGCAATGTTCTCAGTTTATCCTCGAAGCTTTTATCTTGTCGATACCATTTTTCTCGCTCGCATTCACCGAAGATTTCTGTGTCGATAGCAGGAGTTTCATTAAAAGCCGTTTACCAGCAGTCGACCGCCACCTAAGACTTCTTACCACCGTCTGCAGTTTAGCCTGAGACGGTGCTCCCGTGTTTATGTTTCGTCTCACAACTTCCTATCCGAGCACAACTTCCTGTTACACCATCAGAAGCCGTAATGGAAAAAGTTTCAGTTGAAACCCTGTTGATAGTTCAGCCACAGAGCTTTTAACTAAAGAGTTTAACCTCTAATTATGAGCTTTTCCGGCAGCTTGACGCTTGTAATGAGCTGGTGTCGTCCCTTGTTAGTTCTCGACAACTCATTCCTATTCTTGCCTTCTGTTTGTTTTCCTTCATCTTCTTGCACGAATGGTGTACAGATAGACTGGTCAAAGTTGCCGTAAATCCAAGCGTAGTGGGTTGATTGTGGCTTTCGATCGAGAAAAATTAATACCCATAACACCTGGATAAAAACCACGCGGTTGTTATGCTATTGGAGGTCTAGTGTATGGTTTTGTGTAAACATTTCACTCATAGACAACTTTGCGCTCTACTCTGATGTTAATGACTTCCGAACAAGTTATCGAAACATTAGCTATTGTCCATGACGTTGACAACAGTCCTTTCTGGGACAACACCCGTAAGATCAGACAACTTGTTCGGCTAGTACTCCTTGGTGTTCTGTCTGTTTAATATACATCACCTCAGTCGAACAGAAAGGAAAGGTTTAGAAAAGACAGCCATGGCAACTTTGCCAGAGAAATGTAATGATGGCGGTGATGGGGATGTGCTCAAAACACCGGGATACGCCTCACATGATTCTCGTGTCGTGACATCACTTCAGTCACGGGACATTGACCTGTTTAACCCTGAGAGTGACCAGCGTGTAATTTCTCCTCACAATAATACTGCTGAATTATTTATGAAGATCATGAGAATAAGGGAAATGTTCACCAACCTAAAAAGATTCTCCTTGTCAGTACCAAAGGAAATGCATAGAAGAGTGTGGAGAATTTGGATATTAGTGTTGGGATGTAAAGGGTTAAGTGTAAATAGATCTGATAGCAGATGCCATAAACCATGAATGGTGAAGTTCCCTTTGTCATACCACTCCACGAGGAAAGCATGTTTCGGCATCTTTGGTTGTTGCATAAGTCGCTCCATCTTTTCACAACAAATTATACAAATTTTCCATTGGATTTGGACAAAATCACAGGTCCACGGCATCCTCAAACGATTCCACCCTTAAAGATGTCTCTTTTAGATACTGGATAAGTGTAGAAATTTTAAAAATGGTTTAATGGCTGTAATTATGATTGATGTCCCCACAAGAGATTATACACTGTTTATATTCTCTTGTACTCCAATATTTCTTGCATGGACTCATTAGAAAATCACGTGACCCGTTATCCCATCCGCCAACCAAAGTGGGGGTGGCTAATGATGTATATTTACCGAGGCGCGAGGCGACGAGGTAAATATTCACTGCCGCTAGCCACCTTCATTGAGGTGAATAGTTTTTTTTAATATACCATAAAATAGTGAGACAATACAACACCAAAAACATGATTTCAAACTAATCGTTTATTCCTGCAACGATTACAAGATTTACGGGTGCGCATCTCGCGAGAGTCTCTTGGAGATGAATAGCAAAGGATATTGGGAGTTTGGGAGTAGCCATGGAGAGCGCTCTTTCATTGCTATCCATTGTTTTATTATGTACAAATTCTGGATTTACAAAAATCACAACTTTATCATTTATGGTGTAAGATGTATTTGGAATATACTGAGTTGGCCATAGAGTGCAAATATCTTGGCACTAGTGGGTATGAGTAGCCGGTGGAAGTGGGAAGGATTTCCTAGATGAATAATATCAAGAGAATATAATTATCAGGTCTTCTCTTGATTAGGTAGGGATGATTCTCTCTCCAAATTGGACAAGGGGAACATTTCTCAATCCAGAGGTGTGTAACAAGAGCGTAGAAATTTACAGCGTTTGGGTGTGGTGCAGAAAGGGGCGGGGGGTGCCCAAATTTATCATTAGCTTTTCTTTAAAGGCCTAACAGCCCGTTAATGTAAGTTTGAAAGAAGTTAGAGATGACCTACAGTGGTTTAACCGTCATTTTGCCTTCCTTTAGAGTAGGGAAAGGATGCATGTGGCGTTTTCATTCTATGCTTATAACAGGAGTATAACAGGAATACAAAATGGTTTTCAAAAGGGTAGGGTCAGGCAGCTCGGGTCAGAACATCCCACCCATACAGTACTTTGGCCGTAATACGCACCCCACTCCCTAGGGTGTGTGTATAGTGAGATCAGGTTATGGGCCGAGCATCCCTCGAGACAGACGCTGCGCTGCAGACGATGCTATTCCATTGCATGAAGGTTACCCCGTGTATTAGGTTAGATTTCTCTAACCATATTTTGTTCCCATTTGTACCCCTAAGGATAGACAGGGGGAAGGGGTGGGTTAATTGTTCGATTTTGAGACGGTGCGCGTAAGGTCACAGCATCTTTCAAGGATGTGAATCCAGTGTAACAGGGGAAAAAAATTGAATGAATAACCAAAAAATGAAAGGAAGATGAGTGAACGAAGCTTGAGGCAAACTAGAACATAAGGATTCGAAAATCTTTTACAGCTGGCCAAATTTCCATTTTTAACTGCGGAATAATATCTGCTATCTCCGGAAGCTAAAGCATGGTTGATCCTGAAATATCCCTCCACAACCGCAATAGATTAATTTTATCGCTGAGCAGATCTTTTTCAACGTACTAGCGGTTTTCTACCAGTCGAGAATTTGTTCCTCTGGCTCCATACACCTGTGCGCGTGTACTATCGTGGGAAATCTGAATGAGCATATGCGCTATTAACGAGATAAAAGGGATTAGCAAGAGATTATCGCAGCAACCACTAAAAAATCACCGTGGGTTTTCTTCGGCCTTTGGAAAGGGTTGAAATTTCAAAGTTAATAAAATTGATTTGAATTTAGACTAAATTGGCAATTTTATTTATATTAACAACAATTTAAGACAAACTCCTAAAAAGCTGTAGTTCCGCAATATGTGTTTACCGACAAAATTGGTCAAATTATTTATTTTAAAACAATTTCGCAATAACCCGCACTTTGATTTAGAATCCCCGCGCGCTGCTACGATGCAAATGCTCTCTCACCTGTTCGAAAATGAAACATGTATATCATTCATAAAGTTTTTTCTTTTCAGTTTTTATCTTTTCATACACGTCCTTAGATTTTTTCCCTTTCAGTTGATTTTATTCCGCAAAGAAACGTTATTCAGAGGTACTCTCTTTCTTAAAACTGATAAGATTTTTCCATAATTGACTTTATAAGGAAGAATTTAATAAATTGACCACGAAATTGAATAGCCGATGAAATGAACTCTGTCCAAAACCCGTCAGCAAAAATCTCCAAACTATTTTTCATTCCCATAACCTTTGAATCTTTGTTTAGCTCCTTCCTCTTACAGAATAGCCGCAAAACTTTGCGTTTAGCTCCACTTCATAGACGGATCAGAACAGAAATCATAGGGTACACGATAAGTCTTGATTTCAGTCAGTCACTGATGAGAAAAGAAGCAAGAGGAGTCAAACTCGAGAACAAGCTCAATAGATTCTTGATCCTTTCTTCAATGCAATAAGTCTGTAGGCAAGCTAGTTCTTGAGGTGATTCAGATATGTTTGACATAAGAATCGTTAATACTCAATCGCAACCCAGGCGTTTGAAATTGTTCATTATAGCATGGGTTATCATGATGAGATGAGATATCTAAAAATCTAAGGTGTAAAAATTTTGCTGATGTAAATGGCTGCATGGATCAATACTTTCACTCTGTAAATCTGAAAAAAACGCTGCATTTTCGTCAACCAATTTCCTCATCTTTCATTTGATCTCACACAATAATTTCTGCCCGTTCCTGCTTTTCTGCCAAAGATGCACACGTTATTTGATATCGTAAGTAACTACGGGTGGCATATGTCTTATATCAGCAGTTTTATGTTTTCAAACGAAATTGCTTGCGTTTTTTCATAAAACAACTGTGCAGTAAGCGAGCAATCATGATTGGTTTCGTTTCGGAAACCGTAGTTTTGTTGGAGAGGTTATTGTCAGATAAGGAAGGCTCCAATTGTTCTACTGCAAAACGTACGTCAAAAAATTGTGACAAGCTTATGCCCGCATCACTGACTGAGTCAAGCCATATACATGGGAAGTACTTATTGGTAAGCAGACTACAAACGGTTTTTCTCAGTGTGAAACTTTACCAGCAAATCAATCAAAAAGATCTTAGGATAGGGAAGCCCTCCTCTGACATCTGACAAAGAAATCAGTTGGAGACAAATATACTTTTTCCTTGATAAAGCAAGTCATCTTGTTCGTTTTCAGACGTTTTTTGCTAGTTGGAAAGCTGTCATACTGTTCTTGTGTCTCTGAATCTTTGCGACGTAAGCTTTTTAAGCATATTTTATACCAGCCGCCGGAGTGAATTGGTCAAACAATTCAGTTACAATTCCATAAATATGTTTATTCTTACTTCGCTTTTTATACAATGAGACACACAGATTGTTATGGCTTTTCCGCATGTTTATTTTGCCTAGAATATTAAGTTCAATATTCTTTCAGAATCGTTTGCGCAAATGGCTTTTTCATGACATATCACTGCAAGAAAAGATAGACATATCGGCGACTAACTCTTTTTATTTAATCCAAGCCAGTAGAATGTATAATTTAATCTTAATAAACTAAAATAATGACTATTTGTTTTATAATCGGAGATATTCTAGCCAATAAACACTGCACACGATTACCTTTTAGGAAAAAGGCCACGAATTCCTCACAATCCAACATAGTTTCTTTGACTTCACAAATTATTTGGAGTTTGGAATTTTTAGACTGCATGCATCACGTTTCCTGAATTTCATCCCAACTTGTGTTTGAATTACTACTTGCGTGATATGATAAATCGGATAACACAACGTTGAAATTAATGGATATCGAGACCTTGATCACTCACAGAGCTTACAATAATTGTAAAATGTTCTTAGTGAAAACTTAGTGCATGCAAACATGTTCTTCAAAGGCCACCCCACAAATATAATCTCTTGTGAATAAAAATCTTTCTTTTTTCTTGAGCTAAAACCTCTTCTAAACATAAACTATATGGTTTCAAAGGAACAAAAACACTGTCATAATAAAACTTAGTGACTATTCATTAAGCGGTATTTGCTTGTGTTACGCCCAAGCTATAACATTATAGACATTTTTTTTGGAAGGATATGAATATTAACACACAAATCCTGTTTGCCTGCCGAAAATTAATTCAAAACCTTCATTTTCGCTCTTAAAAATTCAGAAGTTCATATTGTGGTAAACCCTATTCGCACCTCTTAAAGAGGTTTAAGACTTAACGCTGTTTTAAGAATGTGACTTTTTCCTTGATAAACTGAAGTATTTTGTTCCCTTTGTTGATATTACTTAAAATGAAGCCTAGCGTTCTCTAGAAAGAGAATGATATTATGTTCTTAAATTAATCTTCTTTCTTTGTCTTTTGCTTCGATCGGCATTTTCTAAAGGGCAAACTCACCAGGATTGCGGTGCGTTCGAAAAGGAATATCGAATGTCTCCTACCTCAGGACGCAGAAAAACGCGTCGCAATTGCGGTTGAAAAACCACGTGATCTGCGTTATATAAATAGCAAGCCACGAGTCATATGTTTGAAGAAGACAAACAGAAATCTCTCATGAAGGAAGTGTGATCGACATTATCTGATGACCATGTTTTGGAATCTGCCTTTTCGTACATCTGTCTATAACAAACTCATCTTTGTGCTTCGAAATTAGCGTGCTCTTTGGTATTCATTTTGAGAGTAAAAAGCACAGCGAAATTTGCTTGACCGTTGGCCGTTAACGTGTGTTGTTCAAAGCGTGCTGTGCATGGGGAAGTCGTGCAATGAATTTCTTTGTCTGCTCTCAAATCAAGGCAATTGGCCTGTTTGTTACGTTATTTGGTAAGTCAATCGATGAATTATCGGTCAGAACTTCGAAGGATTGTGACTGAATTTGCTTTGTTTTTACTTTTGGTTATTAACTAGCGTATGCGACGAGTCAAGACACAGGTACCTTTTCTACGAAACCGAAAGATAAGGAGGTATTTGTCGGAGAGGATGTGCAGTTTGATTGGGAATATGTTAAGGAAGACGTTCAAGAGATCCAATTCGGAGTTGTTACAATTAAAAATAAAAATGTAGCCATTCTGGTTAAGACCGACAACGGAACTAAACAGAACAACCTACACAAGGATGTTGAATGGGTTCGAGACAGAGTTGAGATCGTCCCTGGCAAGCGAGCGAGTTTTAAGATTAGGAATCTTGAAATGGAAGACTCTAGGACTTTCTTTTGTCAAATAAGATATGGAATTCATGGAAAAACCGAAAGTGACGAAGTCAAACTGTCCGTTGTCGGTGAGTAGTATGCAAATAATTTTTTCAATACACTGATTCTTAAATTTACGCGCGCGTAATTTGAATTTTGTTTTGATCAGTGTTCCAGAGGTAGTCTTGGAAGATCTTCAAAACAGTTGCAAAGATGTGTAAATTTATTTTGCATTAATGATGGTGCGAATCTCTTTTTTGAATATGGTAAATATTTTTGGATTTAACTCGTTTCTTTGTTAAAAGAAACCAAATATTGTGCAGGGCGATAATAGTTATAATGTAGCGGCGCGACTCTCGAGATATGAATGATGTCATTTATTATTCTAATGGAGATCAAGCTTGCTTATTAGTTAGTGCCTTCTGGAAAAGGCTAAAAAGAAAGAAACATTTAAGATCAACAACGTTCGAAAGCTAGTTGGTCAAAATAAAGTCTGAAAATAGTGGGATGTTTATCATTTAGCACCATAATGTTTTGTTTATCCCTTTGTACTCATTGGCGTGCTCTCGGAAAGGAAGGGAAATCCATGGCGTGATAAAAATAGTAAGACGTGATATCGCGTTCGAATTAGCAAGTTGTTAATTGCATAGAACAAGAAAATTGTTATTTGTTTGGAATCTAGCACGTAATCGACTATCCTGTTGATACGTGGATAAATATTTTGAAAATGCATCAGTTTGGACAGGCTCTGAGCGTTTGTTCATCAAGGAATTTTATTAGGGAAATTTTTTCATGTTTGCGTGGCTTTCAGTTTGTTCTGACATTCTAGTGCGTTCTAATACAAAATCAACATGAGAATGGGAAGCAGTTGTTCATTTCTGACCTTCGTGAAACGCCTCTAGTTCTGAGTTTGCATTTCCCCGCGCGTCAAAGTTTTTCTTCGAACAAATTTTGACCGCGAACTGTCAACATCGTGTTTTATTTGTGATACATCCAGATAAGGATCACTTTCTTGTTGTTTGCGGTGTCTTCCATACTGAGACCCAACTGTGAAAACGTTTCTCTCTAAAATGTTGTTTTGATTGCTTTTTCTCTTTTTCTTTGGTGAATCGTGGCATGGAAAGAATTCAATTTGATGTTTCATCCGATTTGACACTTAGAGGAGAATCTGCCCTCTGGCCAACTTTTCTTGGCAATATGAGTTCTGTTTATCGTGGTAGTCAGCTATCTCACTTTATCTGCATATTCCTCGTATTTGTAATGTGTTTCTTTTATTTTCTGAAGGCAGGTGTTCAAAACCCACAAATTGACTTAGTCATGAAATTATAATTTTGCACCTTCAATACACATTTTTTTTGTAATATCCACTTTTTAGAAATAGGGATGATAGCTTAGCTTCGATTTCTGTTGAAGAAAGGAAAAAATTACGACCATCTTGTTTACAAAAAACCCAAAATTGAAAATTTATAAGTTCAGTGTGAAACTTAAGGATTGTCAGTATAATCATAATTTTTTGTGATGAATATTTATACAAGTTATATGTAATTTTGTTCTCAATTGTGGTCAAAGTGCTGCTCTCTTGTTCTATCTCTTTGAACCCATTTTAGGGGAAACGATTTATGGTAGGTAATAATCATTGGAAGAAAAAGTCTTGAATAAAGATTGTTGTTTTGAGTGGAAAGGAATTTTTGAGAATGGTAATAGCCAAAATACCATACAATAATAATGAAAATTCTAGCATCTATGAAAAATTACGTGTAACTTCTCTTTTGCCAAGTTGATTAGGCAATAAATATATGTGGATGTGGAATCAGGGCAATGTATAGAGTAGAATGTTACATGATTGTCTATATATCAGGTGGAATTTTTTTCTTGCTTTTAAGTGCAAAAATATAAATTTCTGCACCTTGTTGGGCTATTATAAAATCTTGATTATTTTGAAAAAACTTTAGAAAAATCCTCATGCAAAACTTTTATTAAGATTACACTGCTGGAAAGAAATATATTTCATTCCAGTGGTTATGATTTAATTTAGTGTATAAAGGATTTTTTTTCCATTTTAGGAAGTGTTTGCTTAAAATAGTTGTTATGATCCTCAAGAAGACATTTAATGAAAAATGTTTGATAATAAATTTAACTAAATGATGATATGTTAAAGAAGATAAATTTTCTTATGGTATGTAATGTGAAATGGGTACAGTGAGTGATGTGGAAGAATTTTTAAAGTGCTAAAAATTGCATTTGGTGTGGAAATTATGAAATTTTGCTTTTAGTCAGCTGTCAAGTCTTCATTAATGATTAAAAACCATTAGATTTTCATTTTCAGATGAGTGAATATGGCTGCAGGTATAAAATATTGATTCATCTAGACCCTGACACCTTTTCTGAGAATTATGAAATACATTTTAACCTTTAAACCCCTGCGAGTGACTAACATCCAGTTCTCTTTACAATATTTCTCCTGAATCACCCATTAAGATCAAGAGAATATCAGAAATGATCACCAACTGAAGAGGCTCTTGATTGTTAAACAAATTCTCCTTGTCAACACCTTAGGAAATATATAGAGAACTGTATGGAGAATATGCATACTGATGTTGACGTGTAAAGCATTAATCAATGAAAACATATGCCTCTGGTATCTCTTCTTTTGTAATGAGGCACTGACATTTACAGCATATGTCTATTCAATGACTTAAAATGCAATACTCCTTAAGCTTCATAGTGAATGATTTTTTCAATTTAGTTGTAAAACTATCGATATGATAATTATTAACTTTGCGAAATATGTGAAATCTTGTTTCTCTAACAAGTTTGAATTTTTTTACTTGTGATAAAATGTAAAATGATATGTTGATTTTCAGCTTGTTCAGAAATGTTTTCTTTTTTTTTAATTTTTTTTTTTACCTATAAGTGAGCACTCTCTTTTTTAACTTTTTAACAGCTAAAAACCATAATGGAGAACCTCAGAGTATGCTGCAGAACAGGTCCTCAAGAGATTTTTGTCTCTGCCACTCAAAAGACTATTATAAAGATTTTAATACTACCTATCATGTTTTACTTTTTTTAACTGCTAATTTAAAGTGACTGGCATTGAATTTCTCAATGTAGTCTCACCATTGAATCAAACATTAAGGTCATGACAATAGAAAGAATGATTGTTTAAAGGTGCTCTTGAATGTTAAACAAATTCTCCTGGTCAATTCTAAATGAAATGTATGGAGTACAGCAAAGAAAATATCAATACTGGTATTAGGCTGGGAAGGGTTTAGAGACCAAAGATAAACCTACTGATGTTCACTGTTTAAAGATTCAAGGTCTTTTTTCACTCTCAATATCTCATTGGTAATTCTCTTTACTGTCTACCATGCAATTCTTGTGCTTTTAGCTTGGAGAATTAGGTATTAGATCAACTTGTAATCCCCCAATTGATATTTTTCTCTATTCTCATCACTTGTCTGCTGAATATTGTATCAATTTTGTTAGGAGAAATTCTGTCTTGGTCACTCATGGGAGGTTAAAAGGGTGACAGGCTGTTTGAGAAGCTCTCTATGGTGGCCAGTTTACACCAGCTTAGTTGATAAAATGACTCTATCTTTGAAAGATTGTTTCTCCTTGCAATCTCTGAACAAACTCTGTGTCATGACATCATAATTACTTTTTGATAGTGGAGGTAAAAACTAGGAACTTAGCAGTGTTCTTCTTTTCAGACAGTAAATGGCAACATTTACTGGCTGTACCTCTTTTTATTACCTAAATTGCTTGAAATTATTTAAAATTTGACAGGAAAAAGGATCGCTCTACTGGCTTGAAAGTTCATATTTCCTGTTGTGTTCAAATTATGGGAGATCACTAACCTACTGTTGTGTACAATCAGCAACGACAAACTTATTTTCCTTAACAATTGAAATACATATCTAACAACGCATATGTACAAAATAGGGAAGCTAGTTGCGTCTCCTTTTAGTCTCTGATTGTGACAATCATTCATGCGTTATTTTTGCCATATTCTAGATCTCTTGATAGATAAGTCTGCCTCTGATGTCAGTAAAGAGTCTTGGTTGAACCACAAGATATCAGTAGTTTGTGCAGTGAAGATTCTGGAGGGCGATACAGCAATGTTCTCATGGATGCATATCCCATCAAACACAACAGTACCCAAGGGATGGCATGATGACACAGCTAGCAAGAGCTACCTACAAATAGTTACCAAAAAGGATGTTGAGTTTGAGACACTGCAATGCCAAGCCGAGAACAAGCACACTGTAAAATACCATGCAGTCAATGTCAAAAAGCTTAGTATGTGTTATTAACCCTGTTACACACAAGACCTTTGTATCAATTCTCCCATCTGTCTACCCTACATTTCTTTGAATTTTAGTTGTGAAAGTTTTGTGTTAAATTAAACAATACCTTGGTATTGATTTTTTCCCTTTCTTTGCTTGATACCATAATAATTATATGATAAGGAGAATTCCCCTCCTATGATAACCTGAATTATTAACCATTTAACACCTAATAGTAACTAACATCTAATTTTTCCTCTCAAATCACCCTTAACTCAAACATTAAGGTCATGAGAGTAAGGGAGAAGAACACTGACTAAAAAATATCTTGATTGTTGAACAAATTCTCCTTGTCAGAACCTAGGAAATGTCTAGGGAGAAGTATGGATAATATGCATACTGATGTTACAGTGTAAAGGTTTAAATAATGCATTTTTATTGGGTCTAAATTCTGATCTAATGGGGTCACCATTAACATCATTTTGCTTTTTATCATACGATAAACATTAATCCTGTAACCCCTGAAAGTGACCAGCAACTAATTTCTCCTTACAATATCATCCCAGAATCACATATTGAGGTCATGAGAATGAAGGAAATGATCACCAACTAAAGAAACTCTTGATTGTTAAACAAATTCTCTTAGTCAGCACCTTAGGAAATGTATAGAGAACAGTAGAGAGAAAATGCATAATGATGATAGGGACTGTAAAGGGTTAACAAATAGATTCCATTTTGCCAAATGTCTAGCTTTTGAGTTGCTTCTAGGTTGTTCAATGGATGTTAGCTGGGAGTCTTAAATTTAGTTTGCTGTTGTCAGTTGATATCAGAGTGGAAATCTCTCTAATTCTCAACTAAATTATAAGGATACTTTTTGTTACAGCTCCACCATCACCACCAAGAAATCTTAAAACACAAACAGTATTTGATGAAGCAGCAATTTCTATCCAACTGAAATGGGATCCCCCATCAACAGATGGTGGCACAGAAATCAAGCATTATGTTATTCAATATGTGGCTAAAGGTCTCTCGTGGAAGTCACCGAACAAAGCCGAAACTACAAGTACTGAATATGGCGGCCTGAGACTTCCAAATGGAAAGTACAATGCTAGAGTCAGGGCCCAGAACAAGGCAGGCTTAGGACCCCCTTCAAATGAAGTGATTATAGATCTTGGTAAGTCTATACTTTTGACCCTATATGGTGTATATCAGGGGTGATTCTGTAAGGAGTAATTTGATGCTGGTCACTCTCAGGGGTCAGAGTTAAAATGTTACATATATATATATATATATAATATTTTTAATCTTTGACCCCAGAGAGTGACTAGCATCAAATTACTCCTTACAGAATCACCCCTGAATCACACATTAGTGTCTCAAGAATAAAGGAAGAGGCTATTGATTTTTAAACAAATTCTCTTCGTCAGCATCTTAGGAAATGTATGGAGAGCAGTATGGAGAATATACATACTGATGTTAGGGTGTAAAGGGTTAATTTGCCATTATATGTGACATTACTAGAATTGACAACAATTGATAGAGAAAGCAAACAAACAAACAAACAAAGATTAATGGCATGTAATGAAAGCCTTTTAAGCTTTAAGAGGGACTAACATCTGATTTCTCCAAACAATATCAGCCCAAAATCACACATTTAAGTCACAAGAATAGAAGCAATGATCACTGACTAAAGTAGCTCTTGATTGTTAATCAAGTTCTCCTTATCAGCACCTTGGGAAATGTACGGATAACAGTATATAGAATATGTATACTGATGTAAAGGTGTAGAACTCTGCAATGGGCCATGCTCATCATAGCCTCTGTGACTCAGTGATAGAGCATCAGAACATGGAACCCAAAGGTTTGAGGTTTGATTGCTTATGGGAATTAACTCAGAATCTTTTCCTTGTTCCATGCTCATGACAAGACAAAAAAAAAATCTTTCTCTATTTCTTTACCAAGTCCAAAACTTACCATCTTTCTTATTTTATTTACAAGATTATATCAGTATGACTGTCTTCTTGTTAAACTGTTTCTTTCAGAAGACTTTGAACATTCCCAGCTACCAATTTCTGGCGGCTCTCCCATGCACTTCCCACAGATTGTACTCCTTATGCTCTCTGTTTTGGCGTGGTTCTGCATGGTAGCAAGCAACTGATATATTATGATCGTACATAAACCTACTCCCAGGGTCCCAAGTGTATGTTTTATCAATTAAACAAAGAAAATAGGGTAATTGTGAAGAACAACTCCCTGAAAAAGCTTGTCAGTCAACTCACAATCAACAATTGGCCAACAGTCCACCTGACAGTTGGCCAATAGGCTCATTGGACATACTTCATTGTTCAAGAGATTGTGGCCAAAATGTTATTGTTGAATCGTATGTGGTATTAAGTCATTTAATAGTGTTCAGTGTATGCAGAGTAAGATCAACATCAAAAGCATGCATAAAAACCAAGTCAAAGTATTATTTTGGAGGTTAATTGGCAGGTATATTGCTTTAAACTCCATTTAAAACTCTTGTTGATGGCCAATTTGTAACCTGTGGGTTATCTGTCAGCCAACAGTTGGCTGACAGTTGATAGAGGCTGGAGCGGTGATGTTCTTCATAATCACTTAAAATAGAACAGCACTCAGGTTGTTTACACATATGAGCGTAAGAGCATAATTATTTGTTAAGAGGACAATTTATACTTGGGTCATGAGATGACCCAAAAGTTCCTTCCTCTTCTTATACTTGTAAATACAGAATATGGACAGTGCAAACATCTGTTTTGAATCAGACTGATATGTTTGTTTGGGTCTAGCACAGAGGTGCAAATGAGTATCGAATGATGGGTCTCTAATTTCTTTACGCCTGTCTTTTATATGTGTACTTGGAACGTTTTAAAATGTTGCATCAAGGTTGAGCAGACCAATGTTGCGCATATTGATTTTAAAGTGTATCTGAGGTTTGGATAAATGCAAGTCTTAACTTTTGCTAACAAAACTGAAGGGGAATGCATTGAATAAAGCTTTGAGTGAGTTGTGATGTAACTGCTACTTCTCCCTTTGTTTCACAATGGAATACATGCTATTTTGGAAGGAGAATCTAGCTGTCTATCACAAGCTACTCAGAGCTCTTTTCTATGCACCCATTTACATGTTTTGATTAAAAACTTGTGTGAATGTGATGAAAATTATCCTCTGTATGTGCTAGCTTACTGTGTAAAGCATTCCTTTTATTTCTGTGAGGGATTAACTAGCTACTCTTAATAATTTATTGAGCAAGCAATTTTCAGTGAAATATTAAGCTCATAAATTATTTTATGAAACAGGGTGGATTTGTTATTTAAAGAAATCTTCTAATAGTCACAACTGACTGGCCAGGATATTTAATGTACAAACTGATTTTTTAGAGATTTTTCTTTATTTTGAGAGCTCTCCTACAGTATTATCAGAGGAGTGATATGCAGTTGGTTCTCTCTCAAAGAACCCTTCTTACGCCAAGAAAAATATTTACTTACATGTAGAGAAAAATCAAAACAACTAGTAGAAACTTTTTGGGCAACTGATGACTTTTTTTTACAGCCCAATCAGTTGTTATAAAGTAAACATACCAGTAAGAGTAGTTTCAGAAGCAATTATTGGCTGAATCAGGCAACTTTAACTGTAGTTAAATACTTATTTATTTTTCATGTTTGAAACATTTCCTTGAAATCCCTTTATCCACAATATCACTCATTTTTCATGAAATCAAGAATCTTCCATAACTATTACGCAGTTTGGATTTGTAAATCAGACAAAACTATCAGGGTTTTTGGTACTGGAGGGCAGGAAACCTCTGGAATGCTTTGTGTTTTTAATGTCCGAGAACTATAAAACTAACAGAAAAAATGTCAAGTTTCTGGTGACTAAACTGGTCGCGGTTCTTTTCCAAAACATTTCATGACAAGGAAAAAGTTTGTATTTACAAAGTGGTTAGTCATAGGAAGTGTTTGCTTAATTAAGAGGAAGAGTTAACAGTAGCCAAACCAACCTCCAAATAGAATGACTTGGAATTCTTATTGATGCGTGAACTTTTCAATAGACTGCTCTGTGCTGGAAGATCTGGTTTACAAAAACTTGTCTTAGATTTGGTTATTGTGTATTTTAGTAGATTTATAATAGTTTGATGTAAATTTTATTATTAGTTATATTAATAATTTATTATTTATTGCAATTTTTAAAAATGTTTAGAGAGCAAAAGGTAATTAAGATTATTAAGATGAACAGAGAGGGAGTTGTTGTCAAATCCATACTTTTTGTTATATGTTTATATTTATATAAAATGGATGTGTTCTTTGGTACTGCATGTACAATTTTCATTAGCTGTTTGGTAGTTGAATAAATGAATTATCGCCGGGATGCTCTCTGCTTATCATTAGAAAATATAAATTTTGAGTACTTTAACGTGCTTGAAGGTTGGTTTTTGAAGTAATTTTTGTTACATCTTGAATGTTAAGAAGGAGGAATGTCATTAAGAAATAAGAGTCCCTGTACTTCTCTTCATCATCAGCTGTTGTGAGAGACACTACTAACTTTGTGTTTTTGCTTTTGTTGTTGTTGTTGTTTTTTTCTGGTGGAGGTCAAAACACGGAAAGGAACCGTTATGTGCTATCTAAATAGAGGGTTCTAAAGCACTATCGAACGTCTTTTATCTTTTTCTTGTCGATTGTCGTGTCTACTGAGTGATTTGCGGATAACTTTACTTTTGAAGGGCACCACGTTGGTGCACGTGCTTTGGAAGAATTCGGCTGCGCGTGACTATTATAAATATATTCTGTCTTCTGGAATATTATTGTAACGTCAATTATTTTTTTTAGGCAGATTGTTGAACGCTAAGTGCACGACGAAGATAAGGTTTTCTTGGACGTATGTTTTTGGCGAAGTTCGCTAAGGCTCTCGGATAATTTCCAACTTCAACTCGTTTTCTTGTAGTGTACTTGGAAATCTGGGGATTAAATGGGAAGTCTTTACATCCTCTGTTATGAACAAAGTACTTGACGAGGAAACTTCGATTTGATCAAAATGTGCGATCATTCTTTCTTCCTATCACAAGATAGGCAATTTTGTACTCTTTCTTTTACAAAAGTTTGTGAAAAAAGCCTTCTCTGTTTCTGAGAACAAGTAACTCTTGGTTTCTTAGAAAAAGTAACTCGACAGTAAAAAGAAAGTAGCCTTGGGTAACCAGTCTTTCAGAACACAAGTAAGTAAAATGGAAAAAACGCAAGCCACACCCAAAATGTTCTCTCAAAAAAGGGGGATTACATAAGACATTTGCAAAGAGCATTCATGTCATAAGAGGAAGAGGGAAAGAAATGAAGTAAACTCGTTCGATTTTTCTGTCTCCCCAAAATCAAAACAACGACCGATTAAATTACAAGAAAATAGCACATTTGCGATAAAATCTCGTTGCGAAGTAATCTTGATTTTTTACTTATGAGACTTTTTCATGATAAAAAAAAAACCGGAAGGAACCATTGAGTAATCGAAGGAAACGCATGTAACCGAGGATAAGAATGCAAATATCATGAACGGCTGAGTCTGTTGTCAGGGTTACGCGCATGATCGGAAAGGTGCCTCTTATTAACGTCAGTCATTCGCAATGGACAAAAGCTTTTGGGGTACAAAATTCCCATGTGATATGAGTCACCTTCTTTATTGCGCGTGTACCAACATTTATGTTTAATACGAAGTGGAGTTTCGTTTCCAGATTTGTTCGAAGTCACATGCCAACAGGATAACAAAAATATTTTGCAGATAAGTGATAAGGAGAAGGCAGCTTCGGGCGTGAAATTTGAAGGGTTTGGCCGAAAAAAAATGACTAAAAGAATCACGATTTAATTTACAAATTATGCTACTTTTATTTAAAAACACAACATTCGATCAAGGATATAATCGATAATACCTCAAAATGAGTTGATCTAATGGAATAATTCGGTGTAAACATCAATCATATCTGCATCTCACATTTCTGACCCCGGTTGAAAATTAAAACTAAACAATTTACCTTTTCTCGTTTAACTTACTCAAAGGGGTCCGCTTGTTCACGACTAACTTAGATTAGGCATATGATCTCCTTTCTACTCAAATAGGTTAGACTCCCAAGAACCTTTATAAGAAATAACTGATTCACAGAATATTCGATCAAAACTACCAAGTAATCAAGTGATTTAGGTCGCACGCTGAAACAACTACAAGCTGAATAGCTTCGCTACATTCTTTGTTACTGGGAAAAAATTCCATACAAAGAGAAATTCTTCGAAACCTTTCCAATCGCAATCTACGTTTTCGAAACTACATAAAGATATACATTCTAAAGTTTACTTGAATGGAAAAATTAAACTTAAACTTCCCTTGCCGTTACATATATTTATATGCAATGAAATTATTCATGACAATCTTTTGAAAGGCTTGGCTGACTGTTTCTTTTATGCTTCATTGTTGTCCTTCGCAGTCAATTTCTTCTTTCCTAAAGAAAAACAAACAAAAAAATACTTAAGTTAAAGGTTGCATTTAAAAACTGCTGTCATTATAATCTTCGCTATCATTGTAGCTGACTCGTGCGCGGCCCCACCGGTTCTGCAAATTGTTAATTGCGGTTGAAAACTTTAACTATCATTCTGAGTTTGAAAATGGTCATATACACAGTATGCCGCTGGTATTTTTCTAGCTAAAATTTGGAATTCTCAAAGCTATTTATGTCATTGTGTTCAGAGAAGGCACGCGTAAGACATTGGAATGTACACCAACACGTCCTCTCCTCGTTACATTGACCTTAAATGAATCGAAACCAGATTCTGTACGTGACTCAGTGTGTGTCTAGTGACCTTTCGGAAATAAAACTAACCTTTGTTTCTTGACGTCAAATGTCACGTTATCTCCAATCAACATGAACGGAGCCCACTGGGAAACTTTGGGAAAGCCGTTGCTTCTCAGCCATTTCATGGCCTGATGAAGACATTCACTGACACTATCTCCATCAACAAGGTGTCTGTAGAAACGCCTCATAAACTTCTCTGTTGCTTCGTCCTCTATGGCCCACAGTGTCACCAACACTGAACGCGCGCCGGATGCTAGGAACGCTCGAGCGATTCCAATAACTCCCTCGGCTTTAATTTCTCCACGTCCACTGTGACAACAGCTGAGTACTACCAGTTTGGCTCGCAACTTAACTTGTGATACATCAGAGATCCTCAAAAGGTAGTCCTCCTCCTCGGGAATAGTGTTAGTGGCAAGGCTGGGGGAGAGGGCAATCTCTCCTCTTTCGGCGTTACCGTGGGCAGCAATATGAATCAAACTCACTGAATTCATCGCTTGAAGTACTTCCTGCTTCTTTGCACGCTCTCCCAACAAAGGCTGAACTCCGAGCAGTTCTCCGACCATCTCTGCTTCCTTTCTTGCACAATGCAATGGTACAAATGTCCTTTCACCTCCCATGTAATACACCTTTCCTACCTTGGGGTCACCAACAACTACTGCACCGGTCTCGCTGTGAAAATCTGCTGGGCAGTCCTGAATGAGCTTAAGAGTCGTCAAGGAAGGGACGATGCGAATCCTGTGAGTCTCCGATATGTATCTACCGTCTGATTTGTCTCTTAAGGCTGCAAATGGGACTCGGTACAAGCTACGCTCGGGTACAATAACGATCTCTGGCTCTGTAAGTAGATCGGCCACTGGAGTGATGATGAGTTTGGAACACAAATTAAGTCTTCTTGTAGTTTCTGGAGTTTCCTCTCCTCGCAAATCTGCTTCGCTCTGGTCGTGAAGTGATATCGGCATGGTTTCACTCAAAGATCGATCTTCGCATTTATGGGCAGGTAAAATTCCAAAGCCGCGGAGACCTTGGTCGAAAAAGCTATTTAAATTGAAAGCTTTCTCCGCTATGAGAGTCTTGTCATCCACTTCTTCGGAAGATCGGAATAAAGTGTCTCCGTTACTTTTCAAAACCCACAATCGAACAATTCGATCATAATACGAAATGTACAGGAAAGTACAGTTCTCTTCTTTACTTGAAACCTCTTCAATCCCGAACCATGATTTGGGATCAGATGAGATGTGATTTTCAGCGGATAAGTTGAGTGCCATAGATTCTGCCAAGCACCGAGCCCGTACAAGCTCCTCGACATAAATTGCTTCTTTAGGATTTCTGGAGCAAAAAAACAATTCACTGAGCATCTTGTATGGAGAAAGTCCACCACGCTCTAAAAGAGATACTTGAAACTGCTCGTTTCCGTGCAGGGAATGTCGCAGTTTTTCATATTTGGCAATACATTCATGAAGATGAGACTCCGCTTCCTGGAACTTTGATTGCAAAATTTTAATGTACGAGAGTTCAGCTAAGGCTTCAAAATCGCCTCTAATGTCACCAATAGCACTAGTTATTAAGAGCGCTTTCTCAATGCATTCTACAGCTTTGTTTTGTTTGCCATGTCGAAGTATACGTGCTTTTGCCCGGTATGCCTCTGCTTCTTGAGGTCTGTTACCAATCTCAGTGCTGATGGAAATCTGCTTCTCGATATAGATTTTGGCCATCTGATAATCATGTAAGGAATAAAGAACGTCTCCAAGGATACCATACGCCTCCGCTTCTTTCGCTCTGTCACCGATTTCCATAGCAATAGAGAGTGCTTTCTCCCCATGTTCGTGAGCGTCCCGATATTTACGGAGCGAATAAAAGACAATTCCGAGTTTAAGTAAGCATTGTATTATTCCCTCTCTGTCACTAATTTCCATGTAAATGGCAAGTGCTTTCTCGTGATACTGTTTAGCCTTCTGATCTTCACCAAGTGAATGAAACACCATTCCTAGGTTTAAACGAGCGAGTGCTTCTCCTTTCTTGTCTCTAGTTTCCATTCTAATAGCAAGTGCTTTCTCGAAATGCTGTTTCGCCATCTGATATTCCCCAAGTAAATGTACCACCATTCCTAGGTTTACACGAGCGAATGCTTCTCCCTTTTTGTCTCTAGTTTCCATTCTAATGGCAAGTGCTTTCTCGAAATGCTCCTTCTCCTTCTGATATTCGCCGAGTGAATGTAACCCCATTCCTAAGTTTGAGCGAGCTGTTGTTTCTAATTTTTTGTCTCTAATTTCCATGCTGATGGCAAGTGCTTTCTCGAAATATTCTTTAGCCTTCTGATATTCGCCAAGTGAATGTAACACCTTTCCTAGGTTTGTGCGAGCGTCTGCTTCTCCCTTCTTGTCTCTAATTTCCATGAAGATGGCAAGTGCTTTCTCGTGATATTCTTTAGCCCTCTGATTTTCACCGAGTGAACGTAACACATTTCCTAGGTTTGTACGAGCGACTGCTTCTCCGTTTTTGTCTCTAATTTCCATAAAGATGGCAAGTGCTTTCTCAACATATTCTTTATCCTTCTGATATTCACTAAGTGAATGTAACACCGCTCCTAGGTTTGTGCGAGCGTCTGCTTCTCCCTTCTTGTCTCTAATTTCCATGTAGATGGCAAGTGTTTTCTCAAGATATTCTTTAGTCTTCTGATATTCGCCGAGTGAATGAAACAGCTCTCCTAGGTTTGTGCGAGCTGCTGCTTCTCCCTTCTTGTCTCTAATTTCCATGTAGATGGCAAGTGTTTTCTCAAGATATTCTTTAGTCTTCTGATATTCGCCGAGTGAATGAAACAGCTCTCCTAGGTTTGTGCGAGCTGCTGCTTCTCCCTTCTTGTTTTTTATTTGCATGTCGATGGCAAGTGCTTTCTCAAGATATTCTTTAGCCTTCTGATATTCACTAAGTGAATGTAACACCGCTCCTAGGTTTGTGCAAGCGTCTGCTTCTGCCTTCTCGTCTCTAATTTCCATGTAAATGGCAAGTGCTTTCTTAAAATATTCTTTAGTCTTCTGATATTCGCCGAGTGAATGGAACAGCTCTCCTAGGTTTGAGCGAGCGTCTGCTTCTCCCTTCTTGTTTTTTATTTCCATGTAGATGGCAAGTGCTTTCTCAAAATATTCTTTAGCCTTCTGATATTCACTAAGTGAATGTAACACCGCTCCTAGGTTTGTGAGAGCGTCTGCTTCTCCCTTCTTGTCTCTAATTTCCATAAAGATGGCAAGTGCTTTCTCACTATATTCTTCAGCCTTCTGATATTCGCCGAGTGAATGTAACACCGCTCCTAGGTTTGTGCGAGCGTCTGCTTCTCCCTTCTTGTCTCTAATTTCCATGTAGATGGCAAGTGCTTTCTCAAAATATTCTTTAGTCTTCTGATATTCGCCGAGTGAACGTAACACCTCTCCTAGGTTTGTGCGAGCGACTGCTTCTCCCTTCTTGTCTCTAATTTCCATATAGATGACAAGCGCTTTCTCAAGATATTCTTTAGCCTTCTGATATTCGCCAAGTGAATATAACACCGCTCCTAGGTTTGCGCGAGCTGCTGCTTCTCCCTTCTTGCCTCTAATTTCCATGTAGATGGCAAGTGCCTTCTCGAAATTGCCTTTTGCCTTTTGATATTTTCTTTGCATTTGGGAAACACGTCCGAGACAAGTGTAGGCTTGGGCTTCTATTTCCCTCTCCCTAATTACCTTTACGATTCTGATTGCTCTCTCGCAAAATTTTTCTGACTCTTCAAGTCGTCTTTGGTCAAAATACATTTTTGCCAGACTTACGCTGAAGAATGCTTCTATCATTGCGTTACCAGTGTCGTGCGATAGTGAAACAACTATTTCGGCGCATCTTTCACTCCTTGTGTGATCATTGATGTCGAAGTATACCCGAAGCATTAACATGAAGATCCTAGGGTGAAGGGATTTTGTAAAATGATCTTCTTTACTGTGAGTTACGTTATTCAGTACCACTAAACATTCGTTGCATAGCTCGATTGCTTTTAAATAGCGTTTAGTGTTTCCAAGGAATAAGGCAACAGCACAAGCTATTTTGATGGTTTTTTCGACTTCTGCTTTGCTGTCCATTATGGTCTTCGAATGTTTAAGAAGAAAGCCGCTGAAATAAAGAAAAGATATATATATATATATATATAGTAAGGAAGATGTTCCTTATTTATTTTCTTTTTTCATCTTAGTTCAGTTAAATTTTCTTTATTATTAGACATATAAACAGTCGAACTGTATTAAGCGGTCACCCACGGGGAATGGAAGGATGACCGCTAAATGGAGATTCTACAGATTAGGGATATCATCAAAAACGATATATAATGCCATTTTATGCCACAACTGGCCACCTAATGTATAGAATCTCAGTATAATAATACTTCCTTTGATTTTGGGAGAGAAACATGGATTAAAAATCACTTGAAAGATTATTCTTAGTTTTATTTGAGTGGTCCCACTTTCAGTGATCGTTCATTACAAGTGAAAGACATTAAAAACAGGCCGTTGGGACTTGGTAGAGGGTGACCGCGACCGTTTGATAGAGGCGACCGCTAAATAGAGGTGAAAATTACAGTGATTAAAGGGGAAACAACTCGGGATTTTGACAACTGACCGCCTAATATAAGGTGATCGCCAAATATACAGGGTCGACTGTATTGGTAATTATATTATTATTTCCTCATATGCAGTGGCGGATATATGGGAGGGGCCCGGGGAGCCCGGGCCATCCCCCCACTTCCCTTATTTTGGGTTAAAAAAAAAAGAAGAATCGCAGAAGGAAGAAAAACCGGCAGGGAAAACGACAAACCCCCCCACCCCAGCCCCTTAGCTCAAGGTCTGGATCCGCTACTGAAATGGTAAAATCGATTCAATTATAAAAGCAGCAAATTGACTGAGTCGATATCAAATTTTGCAATACATTAACAATCTGATACGCGATAAACCTTACTTTAGCATCTGATTTTTTTTTTTGTTGCATCAGATGTAGGGTAATTTTACTAAATGCAGAGAAAGGAAACGTCCACCGTGACAAGGTATAAAACCAGTGGTTTTGCGTATTGTCTGATTTCAATCTGAATTTTAAACTTTTCTCAGGATGGAGCTAAATTTTTTTGCGACAACGTGCTTAACCAGTTCCCGTTTTAAACGTTAAAAGCCATGTTGAAATGTCATCATTACTGATAGCTCACCCAATGCCTACATTCTATGTAAGCCATTCAAGAAATACAGGAAAACTTCAATTTGTGGCGCAGTGCGTTTTATGCAATTTTGTGAATGAATACAGATTATAGTACACTCACTGGTTTTTACAGTGATGACTTTGCTTGAAATAAAACATGGGATCAGATGAAACAGTCACGCTCCTCCGGAAATATCAGACTTAGATTAATTTCTGCTACTACAACTGCTCTGATGTTTTTTGGGACACCCCAGTACTGTTATCAGTATAATTTGTTGGAAGATGTCCGGGTGAGCTCGGAAAATTAACGTCAACCACCAAAATCTTCGATACATGCTTAATGGTGTCATGAAAACTTTAGAATTTAAGTAGGTTATTTGGTAACCATTCAACTGCTATTAAAATCAAACTCGCACTTCTCTTTTCGTAAAGCTACCAATTCCTTTATAACAAGTTAACAGGAGAATTTCGTGTTGTGTCAAGATTGCAACTCAAGATAGATTTGTTTATTCTCTTGCCTCCTTATTTACAACAGTCTAAGAGGATTTATAAATAAGCAGTTTAAAGGAATTACTGGTCTAATATTTTTCTGATATATAATCATAAAATTTGAATGACCGTGTACAGAAATTATTAATTAGTAATCTTAGCAATCCTTGAATTCTTCTGAAGCTTTTGGCGCGAATCAATCAAATAACAACAGGAAAGCGAAAGCAAGCGAGCAAAAAATGTGTTTATTTTTGTAGACAAGAGAGTGTTATTTTTAGAGTTCTGATCGAATGACAGACAATGAAACGAAAATCAACAAACTGAGATACATCTTCTTGGAAACACTTGAAATAAAGCAAATAAATACGGTGAGAACTAAAACATTTCATCGATATCCATCAATGGTTAAGCCTGCGGTATAACCTCATTTATTTTCAACAAATATTTCAACGGTGTAGCGCTATATTTAATAATATTTTTTAAAAGCAGTATTTTTATCAGTAGTTTTTCTCAGCCATGCGTGACATTTGAGCATTCGATAAAGGTCGTTCGGCTTCTTGTCATGCAAGAATGTTGCGTGACTGACTGATACTAAAAGTTAGCCTCAATTCTTTTGAACAATACAAAACAAGAATCTCGGCCTTCGAATCGTCTTTAAACTAAGAACCGAGACTTCACACTACACTGATCATGAATTCACTTATTAAATGAACATAAACGCAGAACAAACTCATTCAAATCACTCCTATAATATTTTCGTCGCGTGACACTTATGAGCTTAAATCGTAGTAGACAGCTAGTTTACAACTGGAAACTAAGTAGGATCAAGTGCAAATAGTTTTGCGATTATACATCTGCGTAGATAAGGCGCAGCGGTTTTGCCACACCGGGCGCGGTATAAGATTCAAACTGGTATTCGTGCATGCTTTAGCCGCAATGATGTTTGCTCGCAGATCTCAGAGAATATGCTGCAATCCAGCACACAAAAAATAATTCAATCAAAGCTTTGGGACTGAAATTGTACAAATCAAGTAGGGAATCCGTGCATGCCGTGTGTTTGTTAGACTTTTATAAATTAGCCTCTACACAACTCCTGGTTTGTAATTCGCTCTTAAACCCTTTAACTCCTAAGATCTGATTGTTAATTGTATTCTCCTGTCTAACTGCCACACATTTTCTTGTAAATTAGTCACGAGAAATTGGTGTTCGATCAAGATAACAACTTCTACCTGATAAGTCTAATTATTCTCATTACCAGTTTGCAGGATAATTTTATGGATATCATAGAGAGAAGTTACATCTTAATCACTTACCCTAAAACTCATGTGACATTTCCTCCATACAAATTGATCAAATTCCTCTCGCTGAGAAGAAAAACAAGTCAGCATTAGCTATGCAGAGCCATTGGGTGTCGAAAGTTTATATTTTTAGCATGATGTTTCGATGCTATGACTTTGAAACTAAAAGCAAGAAACTGAAGAGGTTTTTTCGTAGCAGAATATAGTTAATGCAGAAAGCCGTAGTAGGGGCGATTAAACCTGACCGGTTAAAAAGCAGAAAAAAGAAGAATGAATAAACACAGTTTGACTCATTCTATTGAATCGTACTCAAGAACAAAATGATCAAGTTTTAATCGGATCTTGATATTCTTTTTTAAAGAAAATTTTGCTTTCTGACTCCCTTATAAGACACATGAAGATAACTTGGCGCTCTTCTTGAATTTGATAGGTGATGTAACTGTTTTTCTCTAACATTCGCACTTACGCATCATATCTTTGAGCCGTTATGATTTCAACGTTTTTCGTTTGTAGCATGAAAACTTTGCTTTGATTAGAACGGGGCCTTTCCTGCATCACCCGGCTTTGAATTAAATCTCTTAGATTTGATCTGTTGTATATCCGATACCACAGTCGCTATGATGTTGGCTTGAATACTGATACAGAAAGCAGTTTGTTACTAGGTGTTCGATTTAGTTCAACAAAATTTGCTCAGCAAAATATCTGGCAAAAGCTTCATGAGAATAACTGTTCAAATTAGTCGTAATTAGGCTCAAATTCTGACTTTGAAGAGTATTTCATAGTGTTGACCCTCTGACTGCTAAGATGTGATTCATAAGTCTCCCTTCCATCTACCGTAAATTTCTTTGTAAAGTGGTAGAGAGAACTTGGTGTCAAATCAAGATCATACC